AGCCCGACCTGGCCCGGTCCAAATCTTTTAAAAATATTAGGCCAGACTCAGCTCGAACCCTAAATTATTTTTAAAAGATACCTGGCTCGACCCGGGAACGGGCCAGGTCGGGATTTGCAGATCTCTAATTGAAAATGTTTTCAATCATAGAGTTTATTTATTCTCCATATAATATATAATTTGACAGAATAGAATACTGAAAATATTTTAACTGTATACGCCTCGATATAATTTTATAGGGAATAATGGATATAACTATTTTTAAAAAATTAAGCTTCTTTTTTCATAATTCATTGTAAAAAGGTTTAAACTAGCTTTTTAATCAAACCGAACCGATATAATTTTTTATTACCGAACCGTAATCATTAACTGTTATTCACTACGGTTCGAGTCCCTAAAAACACAATATGGATGACCGCAAAACTATTCTGAATAACATTCAGAATTAAGAGACAAGCTTTTATCTATATCCCATCTTTTAAAAAAAAATAATTGTTATACCACTATCCTTAGCTTGTAAAATATTTCTATATTTTACCATCTAGTCAAACCTAACTATGGCTTTCAGCCAACTAACTTGGTCCTCTTCATATTATCCTTATCATTTTTTTAAGCATAGTATGTTCCTTCAATTCAAATATTTTTTAGCATTTTGCCTTTCTCCGTCCCATTTGGACCATATCTGATCCCAATCAAAATGCTTCTCTCTTTTTATTATAAAAAATAATATTTAAAAAAATGGTTCCAGTTCCTATCATTAATAAAGAATATACAATGGAAATATTTTAAAAATTTAGAAATAATAAATAAACTCCTCTAAAATGTATCTAGCATTTTAAACAATATACACCTAAATACCGTTTCCTGCGTCTGTAAATTTTTACTAAAGGTTTCGGATTCCAGTTCATAGAAATTTTAACGGTTCCTAGAATTGCTTCGAAGATGTCGGTTTCTGATTCACAAATTCTGCGAAAATGAATTCATTTATTATACGCTAATTCAAGCAAAAACCTGTAATGTCTATCTCAATATCTTTTTTAATTTCCATTTATCTTATACATAGGTCTCCGAACAATTTTTAAGCTTACGCTGCCTATTTTATCCAATTCTTTGCATATCTTATCAATGCTGTATTTTCGTGTAATAAATGTATGGGTAATGTTATGTAATTTTCGAATGTAATCGATTTATATCTTTTTATAAATATATTAGAAAACTTTCTTAAATTTATCTTATCGACAAATAAAATCTTTTTCTTTCGTGTGGCGTGTTTGCTCCTATGCTAGAAACCTTGATTAAAGAATTAATCGAAGCTTGAACCTGAGTTTAATCCCAAAGGAGCCAGTTTTATGTTTCTGAAGCTAACCTAGATATTAACTATGCTATGGGGTATGTATATAAGAATGAAATCAGGACATGATTTGGACTAAGAATTCATCCCGTAATATATTTAATGTAATGAGTAAGTCGTATATGAGCAAATATCTTAGAAAATGTTGGAAAAGTTTTTTTTTTATTATTTAAAAAAGAGATAAAAAAACTTATGCCCGAATGCAATAAATTTTTTTTTAAAAATAACTAATTTGTTTAAAGAAATAGTAATATTATTCTTCAACGCATCATTTATATTATAAAAAGTCGCCTCCTCTTAGTTGAATTTTTTTATAATGGAAAGGAAAGTAATTCTTTTTTCTAAAATTATAGATATATTTTTCATTTTTTAGAAATTCAATATTTTAATTTTAAACATATAAGCTATTCAGTTCACTAATAAATAAATATATACTTTTCATAAAAAAAATTTGTTGAAAACTATCAAACAATATTTAAAAATAAAATATTGAATTTCTTTTAGACTACTTTATTTTACAAAAAATAGAAAAATTTTAAAAATTGATGATATATAATCCTCACTCAATAAACGAATCATTTTTTAATTAATTTGAAAATATAAAGACTACTTAAGGCTCATGATGTCTAATTGTAAAAAAAAAATTATATTGGAGTATAAGATTTAAAAAAAATTATTTTTAAAGAACTTGATAAAGAGTAAAAAGGTCATGTAAATCTTCATTTTCCTATTATCCTTTTTCTTTTTTATGTCGTGTTGATTATAGGTGGCAGTCGACCGGTTTAAAATCGGTTCCTGTTTGAATATCGGCTAAAATGATGATTTTCGCGCATCTCTGAATATTTATATTCAATTTTAAAATTGAATCCACTAACGTAAAGGAATATTTTCGTTTTTTTCCTATTCAATGAAGGAAACTATATCTTTTTTTTATAAGCAATTATATAATATATACTTAAGATTAATTTCGTTTAATATTAAATATTTTATTTTAACGTGTCAAATAAAAAAATAATAATAATAAGAAATAAGATTATCTTTCAAGAACTATAATATTTTTAAGTGAAAATTTGATAAAAATTTAATTATATTTTAATATCAAAATAATTTGCATTATAATTTTTTATTTATAAAATTCAATAAAAATTGAAATTGAAATTGAAGTTAGATTAAAAAACTTAATACTTTAGTTATCTACTATTTGTTATTGATACAAAGCATAATTATTGTTTAAAAAAGAAAACAAAATGTTGATTATTAGTGCCTTTTTGAGCATAGTAGAATCATGAGGACTTTAATTAAATTATATAATAAAGTATCACGTTTACATATTATATTGAAAAAATGTTAATATATAAGAGTATATTCCATTTTTTTATATTCTATTTGATATATTATATAAAATAATTAATATTAAACCACAAATTTGGCATATACAATTTTGAGTTTGATTTAGATATTTATTGTCAAGTTGTCAAATTGATACAGCTTGATTAAAGTTTTCCTGGTATAAAACATTTTATATTTAGGAATCATAGTCCTATCGCAATGCTTTTTAAAAATGTAACTTATAGGTTATAGAAAAAATGATATTCGTTATTTTTTTCTTAAAATATACTTTAGCTCTAGTTCATAAATAGTATTTTAAAGTAAAACTCTATTTTTGATAAATCTCTCATCTGGGATTATACTGTGTTACCACTTTCCCCACAAATATCAATAGCAACACACTTCCTCAAACCGAAGCAAAAAGATAAACAAATGCAAAACATTGGATAACTTTATTTTTATTACATCTATCAGTAGTCATTTTGCTTCTAACACCTTCCTTTTTTAAAAAAAACTTTTACCTTTTCTTATGACAAAAAATATAAATGAAATAATCAAATATAATAACTGCGTGTTACTCAATTATGTTTTTATCGTGATACCCCCCCCCCCCCTTTAATATAATTTTGTATTTATATCGTTTTTTTATTAAGAAGAAATTAATTCAATACACCTTAAATACAAAATCCATTTAAATTTTATTATACTGATATCATTTCATTTCTCTATTTATTTTTTTACTGAAAATGAAAAATATATGATTATTCATTTCCATATTAAAACCATATAAGTAGGTATCTAAATGCACAAAAATTAGGAAAATGATGATCAATAGCAAAAATTTATTGCAAAATATAATAAAAAATAATTGTTTTCTAAAAAAATTAATTTTTCTCCTAATTTTCAAATATATTATTTTTTGGCAAGAAATAAATACTCTAAAGAAACGCATAATAGTTTTTAAGAAAATCTATGTAGAGCGAAAAGTCTAGAAAAATTTTTAAAAATGTTAATATCCAAAATTTTAACAAGAGATTATTAGTAAATTTTGACTGCTGGTAACCCATCTCGGATATTTGAAGAATCGAGACAAATTGTTATTTAAAAAAAAGTATAAAAACAAACAAAAATCCCTTACTCTCAACCTTTCTTAAACTTAATCGGTAATTTATAATTGTTCCTTTAGGAGCTAGAATTAATTTACACAAAATATTCTTTATTAGTAAAGCACAATTTACAAAAAAAATCTCCAAAACAAATATATATTCATTTTATAATTATATATTTTATAAAAAAAATAATAATACAAATTTCAAATATATAAATATATTAGGAAACAAAAAATCTCATAATTTTTTAATGATTATTTCTTTTTTAATTATATTCAAACACGAAAAAAAAATATAAAATCACGTGTTCTTAAATGTTAATTATAATCATATTAATTATAATCCAATCAACCTTATTTATTTTGGTTGATTGACATTATGCAAAATTCATATAAATTCGTATATAAAAATACGACAGTTATCAGATACCCATTGATAAAATAAAACTATGTAGACTGTAAAAAAAAAATGATCAGAAATTGCTTGAAGTCCATCAGCGCAAATTTTAAGGAGCGTTAATCTTATATTTTTATAAAAATGCGATGGCTTAACAACTTTTCTTGGGGATCCCTTGCAAATTTTTTTTCGAAGTTCATATTCTCATCTAGAATTAATATATTTTTAATTACATAGGCATAGACATTCTATGAAAGGCAATTCACGTTAAAATAATTGTATATAAAAATTAAATTTATTATCAATTACTATAATTTTTTTTAATAAAGAAAGAGGATTTTTAAATCTAATAAGATATTAATTTACACATTTAAAATATTTTGCCACTCCCCATTTGGAATTTGATAAATTCTTGATTAAAATAATTCTTCGGAGGTATTAGGGCTTCTGTTCCTAGACGCATCACATCTCCATCAGAGAGAATTGGGTTAATGATAAATTTGATGATGATTTTATTTTCTAAATTAAAATTTAAAATAATCTCATCAAACCCCCCTTTGGAGTATATTCAACTATTATAGAATGCTGACTGTACTAGTGGTTATGAATGGTTGGAAGCATTACCAAGTCGTAACCTAGGTAACCTCTTATCAGATGAACAATTAAGAGTTGCCATAGGCCATCGACTTGGATGTAACATTGTTCAACCACATGCATGCATCAAATGTAAAACATTAGTTGACAAATTGTATACATAGTCAAGGCAGGCATGCAAGGCATGCAGCAATTAATTTAGCTATTAGCCGTTCTCTTACCAGGGCCCGAATACCAAACATCCTGGAGCCTACAAATTTATCGTTAGATGATGGCTTAAGACCAGATGGCTTAACTTCCGTGCCTTGGTCTTTAGGGAAATCCTTAATTTGGGACTTCACATGCGTATCTTCTTTCCCAAAAAATTTAAATTCTAATCCGGTTGATATAGCAAGAAAAAAAAAATAATGAAATATTCCAAATTCACAAATTATATTTTTACACCGATTGTTATCTCTTCCCTTGGACATATGCCAAGTGGAACTTTAAAGTTTTAAAAAATATAGGGGATAAGATAAGAGCCCTTACATCAGAACCTAAAGAATTTTATTTTATAAAACAAAACCTTCAAATCACAATTTTAAAATATAATTACGCATGTTTTTTGGGAACTTGTAGTCCCACCTCGGTTTTTATATAATATTGTTTTATTTTTATTTTATATTTGATGTGAGAAAACTATATATTAAATAAAATTTTATATCAAAAAAAAAAAACTTTAAAAATACAATTTTATTTCATCAATTTATATATCAAAAAATAATATACTGGTATAATTTAGCAATTAAACTATAATGCAAAATTCATAAGAATCAATTAACCATTATATAACATCTTCTTTTTTTTTACATAGAAAAGGCGCGAAAATAAACAAATCATCTTTTGGCACAAAGTAAAGTGAAATTGCCTCTGAAATGATATCCTCAGATTCGGAATCAACCCAAGATTCTGAAAAAAAAATTTCCCATTTTAAGTCTCACTTTTTTAGATGGCAAGTTTTTTCAATACCTTTTTCCATTTTATATCATTTATACAATTTATTTTATTAAATTTATATTATGTGATTTGGCTTTAACTTTATAGGCATTATTGAGTTTTAATCTTCCTTTCTTTCGCTTACCCATCACTTCTAGACTCCTAACCTTGTTTCCTATATAGTTTTAAACATTCTCATCGCATGCCCGATTAGCGATTCAATCTTTGCTTTAATGGATGCTATCTTTATTTGTATTTCGTATCTTATCCTTTTTTGATGCCCCTGCATTCACTTTCAGCAATCTCAGCTCCATTGTCTGCAAGTTTCTTTTGTCTGATTCTTTGCTCGGTAATGTTTCCAAACTATATAGGACATTTGGTTTGATTGTACTATGGAATCCTGTATTTTCCCCTTTAATTTGTTAGAAATTCTTTTGCCAGAGAGCACTTCCCAATAAGTTTCTTTACCTTAGCCGTCTTTAGTTAATTTTATTCCTTATTTCTCTCTCGATTGACCATTAATTTTATGTAAAAATTAATCAATTATGGAAGATTTTCGTAAAAAAAAATTTTCTGGGGAAACCTCTTTTAATTCTTAAGCCTAAAATCTAAATATTTATTAAAATAGAACAGTTTTAATTTTAAATATGATTGTTTTATCATTTTAAAATATACAAATTATCTAAAATGCTATCGCTATAAAATCCTTTTCTTTTATTGGTTATCAGATTAATCATAACAAGAATAGTTGATCCAATGGAAAAAGGGTTGAATTTATTGATTATCAAATATCTTTTTTGGTCATAATCAATAATATTTATTATGCAAACATTTTTAAAAGATGATTTTTGAAAATTTTTGTAGAATGTAGGAGATTTTGTGTGAATTTTTGTGGCATATTTCTGAAATTTAAAAAATGTGGTAGTTGAGTTGAGTGTGATAGATATCCAAACTATTAAAATTATAGAAGTGTACTTGTCAATGTAATGTAATATACATGGCAACCCTGAGTGGAACTATTTACAGCTTATAATTTCGAAGACTTGCTATTCATTTATGTAGATGCTGCCTGTTTCAACTATACCTATTACCATATACTCTGTTTTTTGCTTATTACAAGCTTCCTACTAAACCGCAAATATAGACAAATCGTGAATAATTTAAACTAGTAAAATTTAATAAATGGGATATATCATAGAAACACATTGAAAAATAAATAATGTATATTATTTTTAACTAATTTTTTACAAAATAAATAAATTAAAAAGTATATATTAAAAAAAATATTTAAACATAAATATCTCTATCAAAAGCTTGGGTAATTGAATGATTTATTTCTGAACATAACTAATTGGTTAATCTCACATTTCAAATGTGAAATTGAATGATAATATGAATTTATTACAGGCTAGTGAGTCAATTTTAAATAAAAAATATTTATTAAATCGAAAGAAGGAAACCAATATCATTGCACTCTAGATCTACCTAAGCCAATAACGCTGACTCCCCTACTAGCTTAAATATGAATGATGCAAATATAACATAGATACCGATTATGGATTTTGAAAAAGGGACTCATGAAAGAGAGCCCATGACGCAGGATCATTATTGAAATCGAGTGGGAAAGGGAAGGGGTGAGGGTAAAGTGTAGGGCGTAATTTTAATTCAAATTTCCTTTCTCCGCTAATTTAGTAATTTAGATTTTCCCTTTTCGCTAATTTTGATCATGTGATAATGAGAGTGGTAGGAGAAGGTAAGAATGGAGTAAAAAGGAGGAAGAAGGTAGTGGGTTATATCGTTATGGATTTAGGGGGTTTCAATATCCCTGTTAAGAGGGTACTTCCAAATACCTTCATTGATATAAAATTATTTATTTGTAACCTCACTGAATTATAGGGCCTTGACAGATATTAAAAAAGTAAAATTGAATCTTGAACTTAAAAATATTTTATACACGATAATAAAGAATAAAAGAAATTATATTTTAAGAATATTATTTAAAAATGGGTCCAATTATAAAGAAATTTCTATGATGGTTGAAATTTTTTTTAAGGATATATTCTAAACTTGAAAAAAGCTTAATCAAATTTGAATCAATTGTAAAAAAAAATTAGCAAAAAATAGCTTGTAAATCTAATTTGGTATTGATCTTATATTTTATTTTCCTTAATGTTTTTTTATGGCAGATATGACTAAAAAATATATATATTTTATTATATGAATAATATTATATAATAAATGATTGTTTATATTCTTCTTGTGTATAAGAATATTCATTATCCTTAAATCAAGTACTTTTGCTTCTTCCTTAAAGATTCAAAATTGAGATATAACTTAACCTTTGCTGTTTAATCGTGGAATAAATGAGATTTAAGACGTGACAGTTCTGTATGGGAACTGTTAATAGCATTTTAATGAACTTTGCATACTCTGAAAGTGAAATCGAAATAATTACTTTGACTTTGTTTGTTTATGATGTCCTCTAAGGAGTTAATATATATTTCTCCAAATTTAAGCAGTTCAAAAAATATTTCTATGAAGAAAATTAGACGATCATTTCAAATCTAATCACGTTAAATCAAATACATGGATCGATATATATATACATATATATCATATGGTATAATATATGGTATAATATATCATATGGTATAATATATCATATGGTATAATATATCATATGGTATAATATATCATATGGTATAATATATTATTTAACAAAGTATTACAAGCCCTATATCTCTTTTTCTAACCTTTATTCCTACTCTCTACTTCAGACACTTGTTTGATAATATTTCAATTAAAAAATCTCCCATATTTGAACATTTTGATTCGAGCAAATTTCGTTTTTAGATAGATTAAATGATAACCCTTGAGTGGTGCGGTTCATAATTATGGAAAAGGTAATTTTTTACACATGTTTATATAAATTAACTGAATATTAATATGGAGATGAATTTAGTTTTAAACAACAATTTTAATCGAGAAAACCTTTCCATATTGCTTAAATGTTTTTACTCTAAAAATTTCGAAAATGATTTTATATTCAATTTAATTAATAAATTTGAAGATAGCAATGATATATCAAAATATTTTATGCTGGATAAATATAATGTTTCCTGTGAAATGCACAAAATAAATAAATCAATAAACAAGAGGCGGGTTGTTAATGAAAATAAAATGTTAATTGATGAATTGTTTGCTAGAGTAAACACATTCTTATATTGTAACCCATTTGACAAATTGTTATTAATTTATAAAGAGCTGAAGAGGATTGATATAATTGCCGAAGCAGGATCAAATAATTTTGTTAAGTCAGAAATATTTGATTATATGTTTGAAAGTCAAGAAATATCAGATATATTTTGTATACTTGGAATTAATTTTATTGATAATGATTATCTAAATTATCAAACCTTTTGCAATAGTTTATTATATCTCAACCAAGGATTATACCTGTTTCAAAAATTTATTAAAAACTGTCCCTTTTCCTTGTCAAAATTTCACAAAATTTTACTTCACAATTCAGCAAATAATCAATTTGTTAAAAACAGAAAAATCTATTTAATTTATGGAATATATAAAGATAAACCTATAAAAATTAAAATGCTATGTAATATGTGCATACACAAACGAAAATTTTTGGAATTAATTCTATATCTTATGCATAAACTTATCTTTTACTCACCAGATAAAGGGAAAATAGAAAAATTGAATAAATTAATTTATTTTTTTTCACTAATTCTTGAAATTAACAATGATGGAAAACCTTCTGGTTGGATATTTTTGCAACTGAAAAAGGATCAAAATAATCTTTATTTTGATTATATTGAAAATTATCAACATTCTATTATTCAATTGTTCTCCGATATATATAATGATCAGTGTTATTTAAATGAGAGTACAATATTATTATTAAGTATGTTCCTTAAATTGTATTGTATTTTTAAAATGAATCTCAATTTGAAATTTACCAATAAGGAAATAGAAAAAATTACAAACTTAGCAACATCAGTTTCTTGTATAAATTTATATTTTTCTAAATTTATTATTACTTCAATTTGTGTACTCTTTTATTGTCCATTGTTAATAAATGATAATAATCAACAAAAAATATTTGAATGGTTTGTAATGTTAAAAAATGAAGGTCCGAGCAATGAAATATCTTCATCGATCAAGGAACTTTTTTTGCACATGATATTATTTGTTAATAATCAAATGAATCATTTATCAGAAATAGTATCAAAGTGTTTAGGAATTAAAGTTCACATCAAGCCCCATGCAATTGTTAGAATAAAGCACATATTAAATAAAATCACATTTGATGAAAAAACATTGATTTATTATGGGAAAACATTATCGATAACAAAAAATTTAAATTCTCATAGTCCAGGGATATCTCCTCTCATTTGCATGATACATTTGCTCAAAAGCAAATTTTCATTTTGTCATAAAATTATTATGCAACCTTGGATCCATGATCAAATATTAAATGCCAGTATTCCACTTCATCCCTCATTTATTGTTATGATTGAAAACTTTATTTATGTCATTTTAAGCAACTATAAATTGACGCAAGTAAAATGCCACCTTTTTAATGAACACAAAATTTTGGATATGCTTGGATTTAAAAATTTGGGACCCAGATTCAATTTAGCCCCTCATTTGTTAATGCTTTATTATCTGCTTTTTTATGAGGATATGTTAATTGACCCCAAATCACAATACTTCTCACCCCCACTAGCCTTGGAATTAAATTTTATCAGTCTCATTAATCAAATACCTATCAAGCATTATATCATGTATTCCATTCAAAATTATAAAGATTACGGCAATTTGCCCTCCATCCTACTCTCTTTGATCATGAATAATCATTCCTATTTATGTATAATAAATGAATGGATCTCACAGCCCTTAATCTACTACTACCACCCTTTTAAATATGGGTATGACTCTTGCACACTAAAAACTCTTACACATTACTTGATGGCTAATGACATATCCAGTGAGTGGGTGTCCGAATTGGCTCCTGCCTTAATCAACATTACAGAGTTTTCTTTGCTTAATCAAATGTTGTGTCGCTTGATAGAACATTTGTCGCCCTTGGCTTTAAAATTAGACATCTTTTGTTTCACTCCTTATAAATTGAGGCTCATTGAAGCCTTTAGATCACTTATAACCTTTAACGGCACATCATTTACCTTCATCTCCAATACTCTCACGTCTTTGATGCAGTCCAAAACTAGTGAACTTAGTATGATGAAATCTCACGATTTTAAACAAATATATGCTAAGATGACCCATTTGGCGCTCGATCCCTTGATATGCCTCAGAGGTGAGCCAAGCTACTTCGAAAATCCCTTGACTCTCTCTTTGATAATAAAAACGTGTGAGTACTCCCTATCATTCTCTTTAAATTTTTATTCCAAATATCTAAACGGGGTTCAGACAGAGCGAGAGGACATTGTTTCCAACCTTACGTTTGTTCAGGAATGTGTGGTTCTACAAATACTCATCGAAACGCTTGATTTTGGTCGAAAAACATGCCTGGAATCCTTACCCTTAGCCCGATCATTTAACCGTAAGGAGTTGGAGACCCTGGTTTGTTGTCATCTGCATCAACGTTTCATAGACGAACCGGCTCTCGTTAAGGAGATTCATACGCAGGGTTACGCGCTTGCCCTAATTCCAACCTTAGTCGCTAATGTACCTTCGATTCATATATGTATGGATTTTGTTCTCGATTTGGTACTGAAGGACCCCTCATTGCAAGCTAAAATTTTTGGCATCCACTTAGCCTTTAATCTTTCCCGGTATTACGCTCTACCTAAATTGATGGATATTTGTAACGTGTGTGTTAAGGCGATCTCGACCATACTGGAAACGGGTAATCTGAATCGCTATTTATCAACCGACGATCGTTTGCGCTTTCTCCTGCAAACGTTGCCACCCTTAGTGATTCTTTGCCGCTCATTTCCGTTTTTTCTAGAACCTTGCCTTAAAATATTAGTACAATTGGGGAAGCTAGTTAATATAGAAAACGTCGTTAATTGTCACACTTTTCGCCTGGAAAGTAATGTCGATCATATCAATGGAAAAGCGTTAAATAAATATTATGATAGCAATAATATGGATGCGGATCATGCCGTCGACTTTGATAAAATGGCTAAGGAGATCGTGGCTACATATGTTGCCATCATATCGGAGTTTAATTTAATTTGATACCCCCCCCCCCCCATTTTGACCTAAATGAAAAATATATTGTGCTAATTATATTTATATATAAATGGTTATGTAATATAGAATTTATATATGATAATAAAATATTTTATTTTATAGTTTTGCCTTAATTATGATCAATTACAATACAATCATTTAATGTCGTAAAAATTAGTGTAAGGTATATGGTTAAAAAATTAAATTAGTTCATTTTCTCCATTCCAAATTTATATTTTATAAGTCAATTTTTTACTTATTCGATATTAACTTAAATTGATCCAAGACCGATTTTGCATTGCTTTATAATTTTTTATCTTTATACTTATTAGCAATAAATTTTCTTATATATGTTAACTAAAATTTATGGACATTTTTAAAATTATTTAAGTGAATTTATTTAAAATTTGGGGCCAGCACATAGCATTTTACCTTATAAGCATTAATTATCAGAAACTTCTAGAGTATCATTTTAAATTTTTAGTGTTTATAAACGGTTCGATTTAGCCCCAATTTTTAAAAAACGGCTAAATAACAATTTTATTACTAAAGCTTCGAAATTTGCCAATAAGTTTCAAAACCTTTCTGCCATCTGTGGGCAAAATCTCCAAACTTGGATAATTTAAACTTTTGGCTAAAATGTTGAGTTAACCGTTTTAAAGATAGGATAAATCGAGCCTTTTAGCAAAGCTGCTTTATATATGTATCATTTTTAAATGTGTAAGTTGTAAAATTATTTCAATTCGAAACGATACTCAGTTGCTAGGCAATGAGATGATTATAATCGGATTCTTGAAAACGATCCTCATTCATGTCTGTTTGTCTTTAAATGTGTCCTATTGAAAATATTACTATTTTAATAATATTAAATTACACTCTTAAGTTTCGATATTTTATAATTTTTATATAATTATTTTTCTTAAAATATTAAAAGCGTTACTAGTGATTATAGTTGGTTAATGGTTAATTCGGCTCAATCTTCAGGCGTTTACCGGAGATAATCTGTTAACATTAAGGCTTTCTAATTTATATTAGTTTCTTCCAAATTTGAGCTGCTATCTTTATAAGAAAAACCCCAGGCTAAAGTGATAGTTTTCGACTAAATCAAGTTATTAGCCGTCTAAAATTTTGCTTAAACAGCTAAAAATATAGAAATTACCCAGTAGTGCCTGCCCTAAAAAGAAAAAAAATTTTTTTTTAAAAAAATAGTGAAAAAACATAAAAACAAGTCTAAAATTTTTTTAAATGTAATTTTTTTTAAAAAAAAGAGATTCTCTAATTTCTCCGTAATTTTTTTTCCCTTCCATTTGAAAAAAAATTAGCGCAATTATACATACTTATTTATTAAAAAAAAATTAAAAACTTAGAATTGGGCATATTTATATCCTTCGCCTATATTAAAAAAAATATTGTGGATCGGGCCGGATAACATTTTCAAAATTCTTTTTTAAACTGGGTCAGGAACATTTCCAAAAATTTATAACGGGTTGATTTGGGCCGCGCCGACCTTTAGAAATCCAATTTTTATATTTATAGGACAAGGTAGAAGTAATTTTTGACAAAGCTGTAATAACCAAACCAACCGACGATACCTCTTTTCAAGACGAATGTTTCAAAATTTTTGGGAAAATGAAATCGCCATTCATTAACAACGAGGAGGAACCAGGCCTTAGTCCAGCCCTTTTATTCATATCTAAAACGACGTTCACGGCCTACGCTTGCGTCTTTATTTGGTCATTCTTGCTTAATAAGAATTACTACAAAACGAGATTCTTAGATAGGAACCAAATAACCTTGTTCGAAAGTAATATTCAAGCTAAAAGGAAACTCATGGATAACATGATTTTGGACAATTCACTGCACGCTTCCAGGCAAGCCATGAAAAACACCTTCTTTCTCGGTATTTTTTTAAAATATATGTAATGTATTTTCTGAATCCCAGACAAAGATCCCCACTAGCAAAATTCGGGCATACTTACCTCGGAAATAAATTTCTTGTAAATAAAAAAAAGGAATAAAATTTTCCATAGAATTTTTTTTTTAAAATTGAAGAAAAAATACTAACAATTTATATTCAATTTTTTTAAAAAAATAATTAACCATATCTAACTTCTCTTACCTTAACCTCGTCCACGTGGTTGGTTCATCTCTTAAAAATATTTTTTTTTTTAACATCAACTTAATATTAAAAAAAATTTATGGAATTCATATTCTCCATTTTAGGGATTTTTTGTCCAATTACCATGATTTCTATATATAATTTTTTTTACTTCCTATATTTATTATTTTTAACATCGTTATCTATGGTATTGGCAGGTACTTTATTTTTGGAGATAACAGTTTCGATATCGATATCGCCTAAAAAGGTGCCCTGCATTTCAGATAATGACATAAAAATTTATGTGCTTTTAAATTTTACCTTATCAAAAACTGTTTATTGAGATAGATTTTGTAATAGATGGAAACTAGGGATGAATGTAGGCATCATTAGTTAATTTAACAAAAAAGAGAGAAAGAAGCAGCAAATGAAAAAACGGCATAATTTTCCCTCCCCTTTTATATACAAAAGCAAGAGGAGGGGGGTTTCTAAAATAGATTATATATATGTCGTATTAGGAGAAATTCTTTGGGATTCGGAATATCTCAATTTTATATTATTTAGAGAGCGAATTTAAAATTCAAAAATTTTTATTTGACCGAAAATGTATCTCAACGTGTATAGAGTGAAAGAAAGAAACTCATGCTGTTAGAAAGAAAGAGTCTGCCTAGAACTGTTTAAAATACTTTTAATTTATATCCTATTTTTATGTTGATTTTTCATATAAATTTTTTTATTTAATGAATGTACTATGTTTGTATAAAACTAAATAACATTGCATGAACCTATATATAAAAAAAATTTAAGAACCAAAATAATATAAATTTTAAAAAAAATACACAAAAGTTTATGGTTTAATTTATTTCTACACATATTGGAAATACATTTCCTGTCAGATCCTATTTTTCAAATTTTAAAAATTGTTTAATATTCCATTGCTTTTACCATAGTTACGTCATTATCTATAATATAAATTTTAGAAAAATATAAGCCATTAAAATTCATGATATGATGATGCTGCCAAAAATTTAACCATCACCCCCTCTCTCCCCATTGTAATTAGGTTTTAGGCCTGTAAAAAACGTTTACATTATAATTGTTAGGGTTCGAATATGTTTATACTTTGAGGTATTTCAAATAGGTTTAGACCATTGTATCTTCCACTATAAGAGAGAATTTAAAATTAGAATTTTTAACTTATGTTTACATTATTTAAAACAAGTTGATCATAATCTTAAATTTAAATTGAGATAAATTATTTTGAGAATTTCAACATTGTTTATGCAATTTATTAATAATAGGTTCAATGCTTTTTGGTAGTTTTGCCATCTCTGGATACAGAGAAAAGCACTGTGCTTCAAATTTTGCAATGGCAAGTGGAATCGTGGGAGCTTTAACTAGAATAAAACTTGGAATGAGGGGTATGCTTGTAGCTGGTGGTTTAGCAACCGTCTTAGGATACATAGGAGGAAATTTCATAATATTATTATTGAAAACAAAGAACACAAATTTAGAGGTATATTTATAAAAATATTCGAAAACTTAATACCGATTAAATTATGTAAAATATCACTAATATCTTATATTTTTTAAGGTAAAAAAATCCGATGTCTATACATTGTTTTTAAAATTTAAAATAGGTTGTTATCTTAGTTCTTCAGTATTTTATTTGAAATCGGTGGGTTTGAAAATATTTTATTAGTATAATAATAACAATATTGTCAGTATTTTTTAAAATTATAAGTATAAATAATACTATACCACCCCCCAGTATCATAAAATTCAGTATAAATAAAACTTTTTTTCAATATTATATTGCATGATTTCTTTTCAGTATTTTAATTAATTTGTCAATTAATTATATTTTTGACAAAATAAATATCTTAGAGATAATTTACCAGTAAAATAAATTCACTAAATATCATATATATATATATATATTAGAAGTCAGCGGTGATCTTAGTGGAAATTTTTGAAAAGGTTTTTATATCGTGCAATTATTTTTGTCAAGACCATAAAATAATTTTGCCTAATTTTTGGGGGCAGAGCTTTTAGACTCTATCTACCTCTAATATACATACCCCGAGATAGACTTGTTAATGATTTTTTAAATCATTTCAAAAGTAAATACCAATCTTAAAAAGATCCTTTGATACTAAATTTTGTTTGATTGTATTACATCAAAAATCGATTTTTTTAGTATTGGAAATTTTTTCTTAATCATTATCCCATGTAATATATATAATTAAATAGAAATAATAGTAAATATTTTTTTTTCAATATTCGCCATAGCGAATCTTTTTCTATTTTTAATATTAGGTTTCCTTGATTAGTTTTCATTTGCAGACTTTATACGGAGAGAATTCCACTGACTGATAGGAGGCCCATTAACGTTTACCATCATTAAACTAGAAACTGTTTTATCATAAAACTTTCATACAAATCCATCATAATGACATTCATATGGTGAAAGCCATGCTTACATTCAACAGTACTACATGGAATTGTGTTAGTACAGTTTTGAAACTTTCAAATCACTGAGGCATTTATTACTTTCATTATTATCATCAATATATTCCCTCATCCCATTTATTGCAAGATCCACATCGAGCTAGTCGCAAACAAAGTGGTTTAATTTGCTCTTCTCTATAATGATTCTGAGTGTATTCTGGCCACTTATCATTTTATAAATATTCCATACAAGATAGCTAAGAAAATAACTCTGAAATGTAATATAGCATTTTTAGCAATAGGAATTAGCATCCATAAGCCTATTTTGAATATTGTCTATTAAGGTAGTAATAAATTGAATTTCGATGATACAAGAGTGCCTATTTTCCTTCAATATTACTAACCCAAGTTTATTTATTTCCCTATCTTCTAGAGCTATTTTCATGTGTTCTCCTTTAGAAATATTAAATATTCATTTAGAAATTATAAGAGATTTAGAATCTTAGACATATACAACTACTTTAGAAAACGAATCGCTTTATTGATTTTTTAGGTAAACTGATTATTCTTGTCTGAAGCCTTAAAGATAGATTGGATAATTAAAATAGACCATACATCATTGCGAAATCTGATAAATTCACTACTTTTAATCACGTGAATAGCCCGTTAAATTTTGCAATTGCTAGAATTTGCTAAATTTTGAAATGTGTATACCAGGGTCATATTATTATTCTAAACTGCCTTAGCAGTATGAAGGAAGACTGCACCCATCCTACATCAAGTACTCTTCCAATTTTCAGCAACTAAATACCCGATTCAAATGCTATTTGATCCAACGCCTTTTGATTTTTGCTAGACTGGTGATATAAATAACTATATAAAGACTTTTAAAGTTATTAATATCTGTAATACTTTTAACGGTGATTTAAACAATGCCTGGGTATCGTTAGATATAGTGTATAGAGGCACATGCTATACCAGATTTATTCCCCAATAATGACACTGGGCCATGGCTTATAAGAGTTTAATTTTTGTTAAAAAACAGGGGATTTAAGAAGATCCAGTAGGGTAGAGACAATCCCCTCTGAATCTTTTGATTCCAGTTTAATCAGGTCTGAGAACCTTAATACCGATTCTATATAAATAATGATTTATTGAACAAAGTTGTAGATTCTGGCCTAGGATAGCGATTTTGAATTGTAAATTGATATTATTTACAATTTTTATATGCATTTCTTTGGAAATAATTTAATTATTAACAAACCTGAATAACTAGAATGCATAATATATCCCGGGTTTAAATCATCATGCTCATGCAAATCTACGAACGACTAAAATCTACAAATGGACAATTTGCTTTTGTAAAATAATATGTAGAATTAAATATTATCTTGTTTTGGTTATCAGTATTTTTTTTATTTCGTTTCATAGCCTTTTTCAGAAACTTTGTATGCATCTGAACAGGCATGTTTTCAAATTTTTTTACGCAAACATCTTTTTGTTGTATCTTGTAAATGGCCTAGTATAGTTCACCTAGTGTTGTTAATTTACTTGGTAGTAAAATTTACGACCCAATTATGTCCTCAGGCCTGCTCTGAGCACGAACCCGGAGTTCAGACCCACCGATTGTTTACACCCGGGGTTCGAATAAATTAAAAGTAAAATAAATCTCATTTACTAATCTCAAATCAAATCTTAATATACATTCTAATTAATAATTAAAGCTTTTTTATTTAAATCAAATTTTGAAAATAAATATATTTCTACTCGTAACCCCCCCCCCCCCCAATGTTAATATTCTTGGTCATTAATTATAAATATATAATACTTGAAATTAAGCTATAAAAGCTCAATTCAATTACTACTAATATAATATTAGGTTAAGATAATATATTTTATTTATTTGAAATTTTTAAATCAAAATATAAATACTACACTACAGTGACTTTTCTTTCTTTTTTTTAAAATAATATATAAAAAATAAAATTAATAAATAAAAAATATATTTCTTTTACTTTTCTTTTAATAATATGTATATATATTATTATTATTTTTTTGTGTGAAATTATTTTATTAAAAAGTTTCAAGTATACATATTTATAATTTAAATAAAATTCCGATTTAAAACGTATACAATTTACAATAAAAGGATAAGCTATATAAAATTATAAAAATCTTATTATTTAATTTAAAAAAAGGTTATAAAATACTGTAATGTAATAAAAGAAAAGAAAAGAGAAAGAACATGAGGAGGTGCATCTAGGTTATGGCACCATGGATTGATATACTATGCGACCTACAAATTTCCATTGAGATTCGTTGGCGTAGGTAAAAACCTTTCTGAGTGTCACGAAATTAAGCGCATCTTTTGGCCGAGCTCCTTGAAAAATTCCAATGCTCTAGGTCCAAAAGCACCGATTGTGTCAGAAACAATCGGGGTTAGAATAATATTGGGAATGGTAATGTATTTATTGATCTTTCTAATTTCCGCCCTAACTAAGGAATTAGTGCAAGAGGATGGTGCAAAACGATCAACGATCCCAAGCTAGCGGGATTCCTCTGATACATGGGATAAGAGTCATTACGTCAGGCCTGATATTTTCCCCGAAATTAGACGTACAGGTTCCAAAGTTGATGGAATATTAGCTGAACGGAGAGTTCTAGCAATTATTGAATTTATTGCTTGGTGGCGTGGATAGCGGCCTTTAGAGAAATGGCAGTGAAGAGGGTGATGGCCTAGACTGTCGATAGGCAGCTGACACTGTTTGCAAGATGAGGGTGTGACGATATCACAGCTTAAACGAAGACCTATTCCTACCCGAAGTTCTTCGTTGGAAAGAAGCAAACCAAGGTTGGAGCTAGGGATAGCCTCAAGCCATTCATATCCCGTGTTGAAATGATGATGGAGAATTACTACTTTGATTTAATGGGAAGGGGGGAGTAATCAATACTTTGATTTATTGAGGAGGAAATATCTGGGTTAAAGATCAAAGAAATGTCCTTCAACGCAACATTCGAGTAAAGATATTCAACGGAATGCTGGATTTAAGGTAAGTCCCAATCTTGTTGTCTGGAGGATAAAGGAAAGTAAGCATTAAGAGCGTTCGACTTCCATAGGTCTAGTGCCATTTCCAGATGGGGATCTGTAGTGGTGGTAAAAATTTTAGTAATTGTTTGACTTTTGGCGAATGATGAGAGAAAGCTACAATACTCAGTGAGGCAGGGGATCGAAAGCCTATACCCCCAAGTTTACACGGAAGAGCGGCTTGCTTCCAGCAAATGGTGGAGAATTTGAGTTGAGTATTGATTTAAGAGATATTTTAACTTTAAGTTCTAAATCTAGTAGCATGTCTGGGAATTGGAAAAGAGGAGCATAACGACAGGCACGCAATATTTTTGGAATATAAAGGAAATTCTTTAGGAGAAAGAATGAATGATGAGATGGTAAAAACCTAAGATTTTCTGAAATCGGTCGTCAAATTGGATATTGTTGCTTTGCTTCCAATAGGTGAGCCTAAATGAGTAAAGTTTGATTTCTCAATTATAGAAAAGTTATCAGGAATGGGATATAAATTGTTGTGCATATAAAATTCGCATTATTTGATTGAGGGAAAGCCCAGTAGTGGGAGTGAGATCAGAAATGATATATGGAATTTTAATTAATTCATCGTAAGGTCCTGCAACTGTACCATCATCTAAATACCTTTAAAATGGCATTGCATTTGTTGTTTATGTTAATAGCCTCACAAAAGATAGCTGGGCCCAAGGGGTCCCCTTGTTGTATTCCTTGACAGGATTCTATAGTCGTTTCATGAAATTAAAAAGACACTTGACCATAGTAAGCTGATATATACGTTTAATATTCTGGGAATGTGTTAAAAAAGGAATGAAATGTTCTCTCTTAAGGGAGCTGAATGCATTGTTAAAATCTAATTTTAAAAAAAAGTTGTTTGATTGTTGGAGTAGATGGCGTGTGATGTGTGAAGCAGTTTCACACCCTGCAGGAATACTAAAACCTAATTGACGAGGAAGTAAAATATTTGAAAGTTTTGTCTTTAATTGCCAACAAATGATTTTGGATATAATTCTTCGGAAGACCCAATATCAATGTGGCGAATGCCTCCAACCTTTTTAGATAGCGCAATGAGTCGAGCACCAAAAATTAAGGGTAGAATGCATGGTGGAACAAGGTTATTAAAGATGTTATTATGAAGTATGGTAAAGGCTGATATTAGGCTTTGGTGGCAAGGAATGGATGATTAGGTAAATTGCTCGGAAACCATCTAACCCTCCAGCTGAGTCCTTTTTAAATGATTTAATAGCCTTGATGATTTCGGAACTTGAAGTGGGTCTGGGGATATGGTGGTGGCAACTGTAAGGGCAATATATTCTTGAGGATGTTTAGATAAAAGGGATTGTATAGTTGAATGGTCATTTGTGGTAAACACATCATTTGAAACTGCAATGTTTGGTGCGGTGCACTTTTAATGTTGCATAAATTGATTTTTTTTTCAATCAATTTTGTTTTCTGGGACATTGAGGGTTGTTGAAAGTTGCTGATTTGTTTTTAAGTGAATAGGGAGCAAAGTAAGGCGCTAGGATCAAGAGTTTTTAATTTGGCGTGATAGGTTATCTACGAGAAGGAGAACTCAGATGAGTAGGGTTGAAAAAGAATAGATCTTTCCAATTCTCTGAATTGTTGTTGTTGTTATTAAGCAAAAAAATAGTGAATAAGGAGCAAGGTAAGGCGTTAGGATCAAAAGAGTTTTTAATTTGGCGTGATAGGTTATCTTTATGAAAAGGAGAACTCAGATGAGTAGGGGTGAAAAAGAATAGATCTTTCCAATTTTCTGAATCGTCGATGTTGTTATTAAGCAAAACAATAAGATCAAGTAATTTTTTGGGCTGTCAAAAAGCGAGCACCACGAGGTATTCTTGAGATTGTAGGCATGAATGGATTAGTCATGATGTTCTGGATCCAAAGTGATTGAGGAACATTATCAAGGTCATTATTGCTTATTGGGTCGTTATTACTTAAGGTTGGCAGAACAGGATTAGAGAATAAGGCTGGGAAGCTAGAAGGTGGTAAAGAGGGATTAAGAGAGAAATCCAGATGTAGAACATCTTGAAGATCTGGGACCATGAAGTGAAAGTTTACCTGATTTAGTAAGGAATGATAATTTGCCACAAGAGGGGCATGAAACATAATTAGAAACTATGTTTTACAAAGATAATACTTGATATATAAAATTTTGATCTTTAATTATGTAGACTTATAATCCTATGATAATAATAATTATCAGCTGATTTTGAATTCATAGTTAAATGCTCCTAAAATGATAATATAAATTATCAACTGATTTTGAATTTATAGCTATGGCAAAAACGTTTATCAATATATGGAAGTATTAATGTGGCTTTAAAGAAGAAATTTTTGTTACTTATCTATATTTAACAAGTGCTTTAAATAAAATGTACTTGAATTAAAAAATTAATATTTTTGTTTCATGGATAGATTTGTAAACAAATTTCTCCTCCACATAATTTCCTATTACATTGAAGTGAAACATGTATTATATTATTTTTAAATATACAATATAGGGGGTAAACAAGGTAAGATTTTATTTTAATTTATAATACATATTGAAATTAAATATGGACAAAAAATAAAGATTAAAGTAAACATCATGTTTAAATAATAAAAAGAAATTATGTTTTAAATTTTTAATTTTTGTGATGAAAAATGGCAGCCACATGCATTTTTTCTATATTTTTGAAGTTTTTTATAAATTATTTTTTTAGTTATTTACTTAGATAATTTTATTTTAGGAAAATATTTTTTTTATTAAAAATAAATTAAGTTTTTTTTATATTTTTGAAGTTAATTATTATAAAAAGTGTAAATTGAACATTTTATATATGTTGACTTCAGAATATGCAGGAATAAAGGTGCTTTTTTATAACCCCCCCCCCCCTTAATAAAAAGTTCCAAAAGTATTCTAAATATCCCATTCAAGCTCAATTTTGCTGAATTTATAAACTAATTTTATTAAATGTACTTGTCTAACATATATTTCTAAAATTAAAAAAAAAATCAATACGTTTTTAAAAAATAGCGATGAAATTAAACAAATCCGGCCAGAATGTTCGTATCTAATTCTTAGGATGGTATAGCTGGAATTAATTGCTCGGCTAACAACATAATAATTCATTTTAATCCTATTTTTTTGGTATTTCTAAGCCCTAAGTGGTCTTGATTAAAAAATCTTTAACCCTAAGCTGAGTGTTTGCAGGATTTTACTGTTATCTAACCATAGAAAATGCCAATGATTTTGCTGTTTATATTTTTGGTAAATATTTTTTATTTGAACTATTTGGAATAACATTCACCTGAACCCTGGGTCTATGCTCGGGGTTCGTGCTCAGAGCTGGTTTGTTCGATTTTTTAGACCCAAACCCCGGGTCTGGGTTTTACACAACCAACCATACAACACTAAGTTCACCATTCACTAATATATGCACTCCTTGTAGGGTGCTAGTAAATAGCCCACAGGACGGATACAATGACATTGTAATATTTTTAATGAATATTCTTTTTTAAGAAAAAAGCTTGATTTGGGTAAAATTTTAAAAATGGCCAGATTTAGATTATAACCAAAATAATATTATGTAAGCCTGGTGATTTTGCTAATAGATTGCAGAAAGGCATCTATTATTTGCCAAATCTCAAGACTTACCAATATTATTTTGTGTAAAATCTTAATAGGGCCATTTTGAAATCAACCCAAATCTGGCTTTTTAACATTATATACTACCATTTTGTTTATTTCATGATAAATAATATTAATATGCTAATATACCATTATAAAAATTTTTTGAAGGGCATTCTTCTTACCTCACTGAGAATTTCTGCTAGGAATATGCTAATTTTTTAAAAAATCAGTGGGGGAACTACTTGCCCCTCCTTGACTACATCTTGATGATGTGTCACATCTAAAAATATATGCATAACTCAGAAAATTATGGGCACGAATAGAAGGAGTGATGAAATTTATTTTTGAACCAAACTAAAAATACTGACTAATTTTGTATTTATCGGATATTTTATTATTTATACTAACTAAATACTAATTTTATACTGATCAAAACGGAATATTTTCTAAAAATACTTAAGGTTTTTTTTATGTGCCTCAAAAATATCAGTATATTATTTATTTATTAACCTAAATATATTTATCTTATGAAAACATTATTGCATTTTTATTAATTCTAAATTTTTATTTCACAGGATTACATGAAAGAAAGAAAGATGGAATATATGAAGAAAAAAGGAGAGAATAAAAAATGATTCATTTATTTGACAATTTTCAATAAATTTTTTTATGAATATCAAGATATATTGGGGGGTATTGATGGTAGGTGCAAAGGTAAATTAGATATATGGGCATTTGGGCCTAGTAAAACCTTTAAACAAATAATTAATAATGATTAGCTATAAAAAATTATACTGTTTGTTGCTGTTTAATTATATCTTGTTCCATATGAGTTCGCATAGTTTCAATTGACAATGGAACAACCAATATAGTTGCTGAGGAAAATATCAACCAAAGACCCTGCCTAGTAAGATGGAAAAGAACCTTACTAGTAGATGATAAATTTTTTAGGCCATAAGACACAGTTGTTCGTAATTTTTCAGGAAACATTTCAGTCAATCCAAGTAATCTTTCTGTCAAGGTTTCATCTAAATCCTAAAATTAAAATTAATTTAACAGTTAAATTTCTATACTATATCATCTTCCTCTTTTGTTAAATTATCTGAAGGGTTAAATATACTCATAATTTTTGAAGTGTCTTTATTTTCGTCATTAAATTTGATTGCTGGAAATCCGAAATCCCCCTGATCTAGATTTAAAAACTCACTTTCTTCTGTAGATGCCATTTAAAAGGATAGATGATAAATTCTTTATAGGATAAATAAAGATAAATGTGGAATTATCCATAAATAAAATCAAAATTATGTTATAATTTAAAAAATAATAATTCTCGAACAATTGATTCAATGTAAGTAAAAAAAATATGAAATTAAAATTATATCTTTCTTTCAAAAAAAAAATCTTCAGGTTATTTTTAAAATATTTTAATATTTCATTATTTATTAAGATAAATTATAAAAAATACTTTATGATAAAGATTTTAATAATAAATAAGATTAACCATATATTTTAAATAATAAGTTTATTAGAATGGTCTAGGAAAAAAGTTACAATTTTTAAGTATTTTAATGAGGATATTTTTAGCTTCTTAATAGATAAAAATTTGCTTATTTTATCATTCTATTACTAGAATCAAATGATTTGCAAGGTGTTTAGTTTTAAAATTTATGAGGTATAGGCCTAATCAAGGTGGGAGAGGGTCCCACCTTCGAAAATTTTCCTATTCTCATAATTATCATTTTAGTATAATAAAAATGTGCTTCCTACACACACCACCCACCTCTCCGTCAAAAATGTACATTTTATATCACTAAGCAATAATTTGAAGGAAAATAATTGTTAATATGTGAATTTTGAATAAACGTTATAATTTTAAATTAAACGACCTTTTCGTAAATTTTCTTTTACTTTTTATAAAATATAAGGATGAACTTGTCGAAATTCTTTTTTTATACCTTTTAAAAAACTTATTATTTCAATATGTAAAAAGTGTAAAAATTAAATTGTATATATATAGAGCACAAAATGTTAAATATTTAAGTGATAAAAAGTTAGTAATAAAATAAAATTTTAATTATTTTTTCTATTTCTTTTTGAGCCTTCCATTAAAATTAAAATGGTGGCAGATAATTATTACACTACCAATTGAAATATATATAAAAAAATTTTTAGAAATGATTTTAGATACTGGAACATGGTGAAGCTAGAAGAAAGAGAATTATGGAAAATGATGTTAATATAATTCTAAAAACACGTAAGAGATGATTAAAATGTAAAATAAAAAATAAATATAATAAAATATGAAAAAACTATTTGGGACAATAAGAATAAAACAAAATCCATAGATGAATTCGGAAATTATTTAACATACCATGAGAGTAAAGATGTTTTGAGTTTAACATTTAATTTACCAGATGACTTATATTTGCTTATGGACACAATGTTACCGATATATGGAGCTTCAAGTTATGAAGAAGCAATATCTGTATTAAAATATTTTTGTGATTATAAAGAGGTAAAAGAGATAAATGGAAAAACTAGATCAAATATATCTTATCCTATTAAAAATTTTAAAAGTCAAAATAATAAAAACTTGAATAAAATTGAATTATGCAAATTAATACCAAATGTTAAAAAAGAAATGTTATAAATTAAAAGAAATAAATCATATGATAATAATTGATGAAATAATAGTGATTAAAGACAATAATGAAATAAAAATTAGAGAATAATATAATAAAAAATTTAAAAAAACTTTAGAAATAAAGAAAATTAAAACAAATATTAAAAAGAGAGGCAAGGTGATTAAATATATTGATGTTGAAAAAGTTTTTAAGAGTACGATATGGAGATCGTATGTTGAAGATGGAAAGAGAAAGAGAATTTTTTTTATAAAGAATAAGTTGAAGATAAATTATGATATAAAAAAATTGTTTAAATTGAAAAATAAAGGATTAAAATTTAAAAATAAAAATAATTAAATAATAAAAAATTATTATATAAAATGAGATAATTCCAAATATTCTATTATTCTATATTCCAAATTATGATTCTTATTCGTATGAATGATTCTGATAAATTATTTATTCCATTATCATTTCAATGATTTCAAAATTATTTTATTTGAGATATATTGATCATAATATATATTTACAAACATTGATAAAAATGATAATTAATAACGAGATGAACAAGCTAATGTGAGGATGATGTTCAAGCGAATGATTAGATGATAAGGATAAAAAGCTAAGAACAAACCAATGAAAAATATGACTCAGGCTAAACAACGAACTAAATAACAAATGAAAATTATACTACAAAGGAGAAAAAATTTTTAGAGGGGGGGGGGGGGGAAGTAGTGAACAAGTTCAAGGTCAAAATTTGAAAAGTCAAAGTCAAGTTTAAAATTTTAAAGTCAAGTTCAAAAGCGAGAATATGAGATACGACATAGAAAATGATTGTTATAAATAAATAAAAATTTTGTAAAAAAATTTATATATAAATTTTTGAAAGAGGAATGGGATGATCAATACAAACAGCAAATCAACAAGCAATGTTCAACCAACGATGTGCAACCAACGATGTTTCATAAACGATGTTCGATAATCGATTCAACAAACGATAATCAGATGGCCAAACAAAAAATCTCAAGATATATGAACAAATGACTAATGGAGCAATTGAGAAACAAATGACTGGAAGTGAAGATAAGAAACTGAGGAAAGATGACATTTAAAAAAGGAGGGAAATGTTAATATGTGAATTCTGAATAAACTTTATAATTTTAAATTAAATGACCTTTTCGTAAATTTTCTTTTACTTTTTATAAAATATAAGGACGAACTTGTCGAAATTCTTTTTTTACATAACCTTTTAAAGAACTTATTATTTCAATATGTAAAAAATGTAAAAAGTGTAAAAATTTAATTTTGTTATATATAGATCACAAAATGTTAAATATTTAAGTGATAAAAAGTTAGTAATAAAAATAAAATAAAAAATTTAATTATTTTTTGTAATTCTTTTTGAGCATTCCACATTAAAATTAAATATAATTTTTTAAATAACGATCTAAATTTCAAATTTTTTTAAAAAAAATACAATATTTTTATAAAAATATAACATAGTTAAGGGCCTAGACAAAATATCTCCAAGAATATTTATTTTTAAAAATATAACATAGTTAAGGGCCTAGACAAAAGATCTCCAAGAATATTTATGAGGAAAACCTATCTAATTGTCCCCCAAACTTATCAATATTCTGGATATGCCTATCGTAGTAGGTTATATCGAATTCTTATGATTTCATAATTGTAAATCTAAATTCATACATTTTGACTGTATTGCTTATTAGGCCTTAAACATTTATTACATAAAACATTAATGTGTTCTAAACATAAATTTATTTTACATATTTGAAAAAAATTTTTTTTTTTATTTTGATGGTTAGATTTAAAAATTCCAGCTAAATAAAGATTTCCCAATAATGTCTTAAATTGTGTTACATCAACTTCTTTAGTAGAACTTTCATAATGGTCAGTATAGTTTTTACATATAATTTTAAGTTTTTCATTGTTATGATAAATAATCTCTTCAATCATTTTTGGTGTTATGAACAAGTCAAAAGATTTTTCTGAAGTGTCAGCTTCTTTCACTGATTCTTTTACTTTTGGCAGATGAATAACTAAATTTTATTGATAAGTTCTTATTCTTTGATAAGATCCTTTTTCCATTTAGTAAACTTATTTTTTTAGCTAATTTTAAAGACAAATATCTATGATAAATGATTTCATATTTAACTAAATAGTATTAAGTTTATTGTCTTCAACTAACATTTCTTCTTCATCTAATTCAGATTGTGTATCATGATCACTATCATATATAAAATCTTCATTTCACCATTAATTATATTGCCATAATCACCTCAAATAAAATGATATTACATCTTAAATAATTATATATTTAGTTTCAGAATCTGCAAAAATCATTATAAATGATAAAAATAATTTGAGAAATGAGTCAGCTAGTGAAAAATAAAAATAAAATAACTCCTACAGAGATATTTACGTTCTTTCATATATCTCATTCAAAATATAAGATATTTAAATTTTGTTTTTAAAATTTTATAATTAGTATTATAATTTTAAAAATTTTTAAAAAAAAAATTCTTAAAAAATTAAAAATTACTCTGGGGGGGGGGGGGGGGGGGGTCTCACAAACCTCAATCAGTCACAAAATGCTTATATCTTAAAAACTACTCAAACAAAATATATGAAATTTGATATAATTTCTAAGATACATCTGATGAAGCTACTGAAGAACTCAGATCATAATATTTAAACGTTTTTATGTAATATCATTTCCAGCATGCCTGGAGTTTCATATACCCCACCAAAGTATTGAAGAGATATTTTTTTTTCAGCAAGAATAACCGTAATAATAATATTATTTTTGTATGATTACAATATTAGGTACAGATTGAACTTTTAATTTTAACTGTTTAAATAGAATGTGTTGAGGTAATTTTTAATTAATAGTAAAGACCCAAACCATTACGAATATTGTAGGTTTGGTTCTTTAAAACCCATTTAAATCTTTTTGCATACAAGCATATTAGAATTATATATAGGAAACCCCATTTTTTTAAATTTAACACAATTTTCTAAAAAACTTGGCCTGGGCAATTAAATAATTTTAAGATTCACTTTTACCAAATTATATCTATTAAGAAGAATATATTTGTTGGCTGAGAATACATCTAATTAATTTGTATAGCTGGCACAAAATAAAGTGTCTAAAAAATTACTACTAATCAGTCAAAACCCAAAGGAGTGAGGGCAAGGGGAAATTCCTCCTCCCTTTAGAAATATATTACATTGTTGCAATATCATTTTAAGCTAATAAAAAATATTCTTAGTCCCCTGCCCCCCAAAATTGTATGAATGTATTTTAAACAATAATGATGAAAGAATGTAAAAAAACTAAAACTAATGACTATAATTGATATTTTTGGAAAGAATCATTTATATATTAAATAGACACTCTTGTAGTAAATTAGAAATTACATTTATAATTGAATGATTTTACATATATATTTTAATATTAATGTAATAAAAAAAGTATGTGTATAATGTAATATACTATGAATTACTTTATTCATTAATTATTTATGTTTAATAATGATTTTATAGGTATGTTTAATACAATATAATATCTGGTTAAGCTATAGCTACCTAAAATTTATGGAGATGTTATCATTATTTTTTTGTATATAGCTTTTTCCTTAATTGCATTTTGACTGCTGTTATGTATTATGAATAAAATGAGAGAATCAGTATAACAATTTTAAAAATTGGTAACCAACTCGTACATTTGAAATATAATATTATTACAATCAATGATGATTTGCAAATTTATTTATGTTTGCTTCTAAAGATTAACATAAATTGAAAATCAAAAAAAATACTAGGATATTGTTTACAATCCAATCTGATAAATGCTGCATAACATATAATTTTAATTTATAAATTTCTGTTTGAATAGGATTACATTGAAATCAAAGGATAATATGGGAGATTTTGAGTGTATATTAAAGATTAACCTATGGAAAACTGTTGAAGAATTACCTGATAAAAAGTATGATTACATCAGGGAAATAGTGGTTGTGATAAGCGTTAGGCCTCAGGAAATAACTGAATACCAAGAAGGATTTTAGAATGATTACATCGTTTCCCGAAATGGCTTAAGATAGAATTGAATAGAGAAGAATACGAATAATATTTTTATTGTTACAGTTATAAATATTCATATTGGTATTCATAATCAGGATTTGTTTCAGAGCCTTTTAAATAAAAATTATAATCAATATAAACAAAAAGAATAAGGAACTTCCTTTCCTTTCTCTTCTTTTCTTTTCCTTTCTTTCTTTCTTTTCTTTTCCTTTCTTTCTTTCTTTCTTTCTTTCTTTCTTTCTTTCTTTCTTTCTTTCTTTCTTTCTTTCTTTCTTTCTTTCTTTCGATAAAGTAACTATATACCAGTATAAAATTTTCATAATGTTTTACCAAAATACATATTGACAAGAATTTAACAATCTAGGCATAGATGTAGCCTAAATTTTATTTATTTATTATTTTATTTTAATTTTTTTTTTGGGGGGGGGGGGAAGGGGGTAATAATATTTGATGGGGTTTTAGACCCCATTAATTTGAGTGTTTTGGACGTGTTACCATTTTAAAAAATAGATTTAACTTTTTTGTAAATACAGTATTTTTCTTTTAAAATATTGTTTATAATATATTCATTCTGGGGCAAGAGAGGGGGGGGGTGTATAAGGCGGCAAATTTTATTGGCTTAATATTAATTGGAAAAACGCAAATTTACCAAGGAGAAGGAAAGGTCCCAACACCCCTCCACCTTGGCTACACCTATGTCTTGATGAAAATTTAATAGTTACCTTTCAATATGTTTTAAAATTTTTTTAGAAGTTTTAAATTAAATTTATATTCGCATATAAATATTACCAGTTATGTATTCGTATTCACCAGCAACAGCTAAAAAATTTGTTATAATAGATCAAAATATAATTGTTAAAAAAGTTTTATTTTGAGACTCAATATCTAGCTTGCACTCGTTGGTAAATAACTCAAGACTAAAATATCAGTTGAACTTGGTTATAATAAAAAGAGTTTGCATATGGGCCAAGGCTTGATGCGGGTATAGTATAGATATGATATAGGCAATATCATAATTTAAATCAAACTTATTTGTTTCTGTTTTCCTTCTTGATTCCTATAAATTCCATATGAGATAGGGTTAGCCTTTTACTTAAAATAAAAACATAATACAGCTTCTAAAATATTTTCACTTGGGACTATTTACCAACCAGGAATTCTGTACGATTTAGCCTTAATTAAGCATTTAATTTTTACAATACAAAAACTAGATATCAGCAACAGGCATGTTAAAAAAATGAATGGACGGGCTGCTACAAATATTTCCAAAATCTACATGGCGAGTAAAGCATTGATTTTATGAGTATAAATAAAAATGAATTAAGAGCTAAAACAAATAATCAAAATATTTTTAAACATTTAACGAGTAGATAAGCTAAAAACAAAAGGTTCAAATAAATAGGCGGGCATGCTAATTATTATAGGTTATGAGCGGACGGGTTAAAAAAAATTTTTAAACTGTGGATAGAATGACAGGTTAATATGACTTTGTTAAAAAAAATATTAACAGATAGCTAGTTACATAAGTAATTATTTATACCCATATCTAAGTACATTTGTGAAAAATGTAACTAACTAATTACTTTCAAGTGTTTTAAATGTAATTTATCATTGTTTAAAATGCCACTCTAAAAGAATTTATTATCAACTCAAACTCACTTATTTTATTTATGACTATTTATAACTAAAAGAGTTATATATAAGGTGTATATTTCCAATAAAATAGATTGATGGCTTATATTATTACGTATTAATCATAAAAGTATTATATAACCTTGGAAAAATCTGAATTTAATATGAAACTTAAAAAAATTATGGAGAGGAAGAGAAAAATAATAACCGGTGTTTAAAATGCTTGTATGGTTAAAAGTTAAAAGTGAGAATTTTATCTCTTAACAAAGCGTGTTTTAATTGTGGAATTAATGAAGTGGGCCAGGAACAGACTAACAAATATATTAATGTAAACTTACTTTCATACTCGTATTCGGGTAGATACTCGTATTCATAATCCGAACCTAAATTAATAAATGCATGTATTTATTTTTATATTTTAGAAAACCATGGAAATTATCCAAAAATCTAAAGGCTATTTACAATCTTATTTCAAAAAAATTTTTTTTGAATAACTATTTTATTTTTAAATTCCAAATATTTTGTTTACTTTTTTTCCTAGATTCTTTTCAAAACATTATTATTATATTATTGGAATTTATTTTAATATAGTAAATATATACTAGGGGTTGGTTTCGGTTTTCCCGGGATTGCTTCGTATTCATAAGTATATTCGTAATCCGATATGGTATTCGTTTTAGTTGGGGAATATCTTTGCACTGGCGCATTTTTTATTATTTGATCATTGGATTTGGTTATTTTCTTGTCATCGGTTAGAGGAGATTTTTTACTGGGAATTGGATCTTTTGGTTGAGATTTATTTTTATTTTTTTAAGTTTATATAAAATTTAATTTTTTTTAAGCCTAAAATTTTTGACAAGCTTAAACTAATTCAGAATTTAAATATTAGTTAAATTTTTTTTATAAAAAAATATACATATGGAGTTCAGGTTACTATGTAGAGGTAAAAAGAAGCCAAATCAGGGGCCCTTGGCTAAATAAAATTGTTGTGAGACCCGATTTGAGCTCTCCCGCGCCACATAGGTTGTCTTTTTTGCCTCTATTACTACGTTTCACTTATCATAATTTAATGATAAAGATTACGCTTAAAAGATTTAATTAGATATTAGATCGGTTATATATATATAATCAGGCTTCTTTTTCATACCTTTGACGAAATCATTTAATTATTATACTATTAACTACTCAGTATACTTTCGTAAAAAAAATGTGATGATACAACAAATGGCTTAAATTTAAAAAAACTATTAAATCAAAATTAATAAAATGTTGGATATACTTACTATATTTTAAGTATATAATATATATTGAAGATTTGAGATTATAATAAAGTCTATAGGTCCCGCACTAGGATTATATAAATATTTTTTATAAAATTAATCCTGTTAGTATTAACCTTTAGCATTTCTTAGCGCAGCGGTCAATGTTTCAAGATCGGGTGCACTTTCTAAGGGTTTGTTGGCAATAACCTTAGGTGTTGGCTTTGGGATAATTTTAGTCGTCTCGTTAGATATTTCAGAAAAATCGCCATTTTTTACAACTGTTTTAGGGTTTTTAGGTAAAGGTGGAGGAACCTTAGCATTTTTTTTCTTTCCTTAAATATATATTCATTAATTAAATTGTAATAAAATTTACTTATTTTCACTATCATCTGAATAACCTAAAAAAAATGATTGTTTATAATCTACAAATTTTAAATCTTTTAATGTTAAATGTTTTTAGATAGAATTATTTTATCAATTAAGCAATGATTATTAAACTGATTAAAATGGTAAATATCTTCATAAATTTTAAAATTAGCGCTTCTAATTGTTGAGAATTAATGGAGCTGACGTATTTTTCAAAAATAACAGAGGATAAAGAATTGTCATAAATTTTTGATTTATAATATGATTTTAGATGAGTACCTCCTTTCATCCATTATAAATTCTAGCTATACAGGTGAGTTTGAGGAACATGTCTAGATTCATTAATATTAATATACAGGTGGTATCATTTGTAAATTAACTAGGATTAGATTTTAATCTAATGTTTCGTCACTTATATATTATGAATGAACAATATTGTAACTATTATCCGACTACTTCTTTAAATGCGATTGAGCGTCAGTTTTCACGAGTTATTTGGAAATTAACATATAAATAAAGGGTCTAAATTTCAATTTTTCCCAAGCTTAAGCTCGGTAATAAAAATTAGCATCGTTCGTGGGCCAAATTTTATAAATTAAAATTAGAAATTATGTTTCACTCAAAATATCAATTTTATTCTCTGTTTTAGTGCTTTGCATTCAAACAATAACTAATAATTTAATGAAATTTATCTCTATATTCTATTGTTACAAATTTTGCCCATTCCATATTTTTTTTAAAATTTATTCTAAATTTTATTGTTGTAAACGTACGCGTTCAAGTTCGTTTTTCTGAAAAAAATGATGAACGGCATTCCTTTTATTTTTGACAAACTTTGAACGTGAACGCGTTCCTTTTTTATGACGAATGCGTTCGAATTTAACGTTCGTTCAATTTTAAAAACAATTTTTATTTTTATTTATATGAAAAATTTAATATTAATCCGAATTTTTTAAGAAAAATGTCTTTTATTTTATAATCAACTGTTTTTCTTTTTCACATTTCAATTTTTTTAATACGCAATTATTATAAATTATTCATTTGAATATTATTGTTATATTTTAATTTAATAGACTAGCATAAGCATGGATATTATTATTTCATCATCATCATCATCTGATTCTGAAAATTCAAAACCAGATGAAATCATCATGGCCCAAATATGATAAATATTTTACAGTAATATTCTATATAAGGAACTAATTTAATACGTAACAAATATAAAATGTGCCCAAAAAGTATTATATCAGTTTCAAAATCTTCAAGTTCCAATTTAAAACGACATTTGATTGTAATATTAATTATTTTATTTTATATAACATAATATAACTAATTAAAATCATTAAATTTGAAGAAAAAAGGCATTTAAGCTATTTGAGCCCAATAGTAACTATAGTTATTTTAAATTTAAAAAAAAATTAGTGGCCTAAAATATGGTCAACCATTGATAAACGCTGTATTAAATGGGATTAATAAACTGTATAAAACCTATCACTATCAAATTAACATATATTTTATTTTTTTTAAAGATATGGTACATATATATGAAGATCAATATGTTTTTCTGCAATTATATATCCAGTCCAGTATTCAAGCCTCAATGGCCATGAATAAAACTTACACAGAACGAACCTATAAAAAATAAACTTATAGTGTTTTTGAAAAAATGCATTAAAACCCTAGAAATGATAATGTAAGAACTGTTAATTTATAGATATCCTTTTTTTGACGAGGAAGTAGAGGATAGATTGGAGGAGGATAACTTATCTCAATTTTTTGAAGCAAAGGACAAAACAATAAATGATTTCAATAAAATCCCCAAGTTAAAAGAGTTTTATTAAATATAATACAGCAAATCTCTCATCTGTCCCTGTAGAGCGCGTTTTTAATAGCTAATGTCGTATTAACTGCCAAGCGTTAACAATTTTTATTAAAAATTAATAAGAAAAATTTTTATAAATAAAAATATCCTTTTATTCGCTATATTATAGCTATATTATATTGTATTTATAATATATTATCAGAATAGAACTATATTATTTTTTAACATAGATAATATATTGTGTTAAAAAATATAAGACATTTATTTATAATAAATTTAATTTAAAAAAAAATTTATCATTTAATTTTGAACAAACGTGAACGAGTTCCTTTTTTTTAAAAGTGAACGTGAACGTGTTAGATATTTTTAGAAATGTTTACAGCCACTAAAATTACATTATTCACTGTCAAAAAGGTAGGAGTAGGAAATTTAACATGTTTTTCGAGCCCGTGACCGGGCCTATGTTTTATAGATGGTGTTACGCCCGCCGCCTCAGATGACTCTAATAGAATTTTTAGAAGTTTAATTATAGGTTCCCAAATGGAGAGCATCTTTGTTAGGGCGGGCAGCCACATAATATCACGTATGAGGGAGGGTTGAAAAAGAATTGAAAATAAATTTTTTGAAACCTTTACAACAAACTCCGAACGCGCCTTTGAATGGAGATCCCACGCACATAACAATTAAGGACAACATTTATACAGCTGCGGAATCTAAACTTTCCATAAAGAAATCATCCTTTTTCCCCTTTCTAGTAATCAAGTATGATGGTTGACTAATTTTTGTGAAAGAATAAATAAAATTTTATTGTATTACACGCTGTCAAGACGCAAGTATTGTTTTTGTTATTATACTTTGAAGTGACAATCAAGGAATTTATGTCGAGAGTTATAGAAAGCATTAGGTTTAAAAAAAAGAAACAGATTATTCCCAAAAATGCTTACGTTTTAACTATGTCAAAGCAACGTAACGTAAAAAGCAAATTAATTTATTATACATAACAAAAAAATATTTTTAACAAAAACAAGAATATATTAAAATATAAATATGATTTTTACGTCGAATTTTAAACTACCGCAATTCTTTAACTTCGATTAAGTTTTATAACAATGCAAGAAGAAAGCGATATGTTTATCTATCCATTACTCACTTAAATAATAAGGTCAATAAAATTCATCAATTTACCTACCGACTAATTTTAGAGTAATTTAATAATAAAAACTTACTCTGATCCCATACTGATGTAATCCTCTGTTTCGGCAAAAGCAGTGCTATAACAACTTCTCGCGCTTTCCCGCAAAAATTATTTTGGGGGTTTCTTCCAATAGGAAAGTATATAAAATGCTTTTGATGATAATATAATTTTTATATTCGTCAATTTTAATGTATTTGAGGTGCATCGCTCAGGAGGTGTGATACGCCTCGCTGGGCATTTTAAAGCAAGCAAATAATAAGTAAAATTTATAATGACCGTGCGATACGATGAAATGAATAACATCGTCATAGATTATAATTTTTACCTATTATTTACTTACTTTTGAAAAATATCCAGCGATGTTCGCTTACTATTAATGAGGCCTAACCCATCGCCGAGAATTATTGTTAACTGTGAATGCAGAGTAGTATATTTATTCAAATAAAGAAACAATTGAAGGGGGGAAAACATAATAATTACACTTTTTTTAGAATGCAATTACCTCCCAAACATATAATAAGTTCTATTTCCTAGATAGACCTTTCGGTTAGTTCAAAATATTATATTTTCCTGCTTCATAAACTGACACTACTATTTCTATAACCTCTGGTCTTTCATGTGGAATCACTGCATCATCTTTAACTTATAAACATACTTTAGCAACATTCCTTTGGACTCAACGATATTTAAGTAAAAACCTGCTCCAAATGCGTAGATAAGATTTTAGGGGGTATAACATATTAGTTTTATTGGAGATTTTTAAGTCAAAAATTGTAGGCATTTAGCTATGTTACATTTTTTAAAAAACAATTTTGGTTTATCCCATTTTTTCTAAATGAATTATAATCATTTTTTATGAAAAATTGTTAAATTATACCTGTTTTTCCTTCAAAATACTGTTTAAAGAAAGTAAAGGGAGAGAGGGAGGGAGGGAAGGAAGTAAGTAAGGAAGTGATATATTGTAATCATTTTTATGAGAGAGGGGTTGGGGATCAGTATGAAATTTCTTTATTCACTTAAAATGATATTCATTTTCCACCTTATCTCGTTATTAAAGGTTGTGAAATTTAAATTCTCTCCTTTTAGAATATAAGCCACTATTTTGAATTTATCTAGCATAGCGTTTTCACTTTAATGTCCATATCCGGTCTTATCCAATCCAAAATAATTTTTAATTGTCTTCTAAGCATAACCTTAGCAGGAAATCTTTGCGTAGAGTTATGTTGTTCCATTTGATAGGCACTAAGTGCAAAATTTTATTCCGGATGCGAAATTGAACATCGCTGTGTAATATTAACTTTTCAAAGTTCGTATTGGCCGATCAGATAATCTATGATGGATGATATGATGTCGACCGTATACGAAGTATGTTGTTTAATATACAGTAACCATAGAATTCCTCATATATAAACTGTGGTCCGTTATATGACAAATGTTTAATCATCGCCTCATTTGTTGTATTCTGTATCAAACACTAGCTATTTCGAATGGAATCCATCTCAATTGGCCATAATCTCGGCCAATCATTCCATTAATGATATCACGATCGACAGATAACTATTCTTATCGATTGTAAACAATCAAGTTCTTTATCTATACGGTGAACACCGCCAACTTTTCTGAATATGTCGTGCTATATTTTTTTAACGAAAAGTTTTGCACCAACTCTCTTCATAAACATTTTTGACACATGCATGTCCAAATTTATCCTTTGAATCTCCAATGGAGTGATAAATCTTTATTCTCTTCCACGTCAAATATTAAAAGTCTTGATAATGGTTTCTGAATTAGCATTTATATTTTCAGGTCTATATTCGTTACTAAAATCATGAGAAGCCTTCTTCCAGGAGAGTCAAACGATTATTCAAAATCTCGAGTAGATCCTCCTTGAAACATAATGTTTCTAACGAATACCAAAAAGTTAAAAAGATATCCTTGTATTGGAATTCTTCAGGACTTATTTTTAAACGGAAACTGGCTTTCCAAGTAGAAAAGAATAAGAAATTGAATTTTCTCCATTGAATATATCTAACTTAACAACAAGTAAATCTACCAAATTTTCCTTTGCAGAAATCAAACTATTCTCATCATTTTTATATTTATTTGCTATAGAGGAATTTATTTTCGAAGAATCTGCCAAATTTCTCACTATTAAAGGTTAGAATTTTCATAGATTTACCTCTCTCTGATAAAAAGTTTTTATTAATAATATAATTTTATTGATATTATTTCAATTTTAATATATAAGACAATAATAATAATTGTTCTTTTATCTGGAATTCCGTTAAGGATTTTGTAATATTAAAGTATGAATGAGGCACTAAATATTAGTATAAATTAGAATTTATGTCCTATTATTTTTGATATTAGCAAAATGTTCAAGCTTTCTTGTTTTGCTTATGACTTACAATCAGATTTTTTTTATAGATAGTATGGAGTATATAATTAGTCCCAAATAATGCCTTATATATTGTTCATCGTTTTAGAAATCAGTTTTCAAATATTACGCCATCCTGATTTTACCTAAGTGGAAATATATAACTTCTACCAGTAAAAAGGTATATTATAACTCATAAAATTTACCCAGGCCACTATTTATAAATATGATAAATATTAAATAAAGTCATTTTTAAAAATAAATATATTTTAGGCGAATAAATGAGTAAGCAAAATATCTAAAATAATAATATAACATATAAATTCCTATTTTTCTCACAATATTTATTCGGCATGACTAAGATAATAAATAAGCCCAAATCTCTTAATAAACATTGGCATAGGTTTCAAAATTTATGTTGAGCCCCTCCAACTTCCGGATCTATAGTATATTAATAGACACCACTTTTGCAAAAATATAACTTTATTGCATCCAATTATACATTGTTTCAAATACAGAAAGTTATTGCACAATTTATACAAATAAATTTCATAGATATAAAATGATAATTATATCAGCTGATAGCCATCATGAATGGCGGGGAATCAGAATGATCTTGATTAGCTATCAATTGATACCTATCTTGGATGTATCTATTCTAATATGGCCAAAAAAACAATTAAACTAGCGGATTAATATACAATCATATGATGGAAAATAAATACATTGGGTGAATATTGGTATAAAAAGAATATCATTAGAAAAATATTGGTATAAAGATTACCATTAGCTGAATATTATAAAGAATACTATTGGATAAATATGATTAACACATTTTGACGATTTTATATATAAATTATAAAAAAAATATATTTTCTTCGATATTTCGAAGTTTCAGCGAAATTATTGATAAATATATCTATCAAAGTTTGGGCATTGTATGATCATTATAGCTAAATAAATTAATCTTGAGTTTGAACTACGTTATTTTTGATTAGTTTAAACTTTAAAAAGCTACATTTCACAGTTGCAGCCAATGGCGTCACTAGCCTCTACAATCTCAGGGGGCTCAAATATATTTTTTTTCTATATTTGAAAATGATCTTAATTATTTCAAAATAACCTTTTTTTATAGGATTTTTTTAAAAAACTTGAAAATTTTCAGGGGGTTTAAGCCCCTGTGTCTCCCTTAGTGAAGCTACTGGTTGTAGCAATCACATTTAATGAGAAATAGCTTATAAACTTGTTTCATCTTATTGTGTATCAGTGTTGCTAAATACTTTTAAAAGTAGCGCGTTATCGCTACCGCTAGCGTTTTCAAAAAAATAGCGCTCTTTTTAAAATATTTAGGTATTACTATTTCCACAAATAAGAAATTTGACTAAAATTTCAAATATATATATTTTTTTACTACATCTCAATAATAATATTTCCATATTGTCATCCCCAAATCTAGAGCGATGATCAATCAGAAAGTATATGCTATGACTAGTGTTACTAAAAGGCTCGATTTTTAAAAACGGCTAACTCAATATTTTAATCAGAAAAATATTGATAAACCTCGAGATTTGCCTACTAGATGTCCTAACTTTTGTAACAGAAAAATCTTCACGCTTTGTAATATTTTTCTGGGTAAAATATTGAGTGTCGTTTTTAAAATCGGCTCAAATTGAGCCGTTCAACTTAAAACTAAATAATCGTTAAACACTTACATGCAATGCATGGCCGTGTTTGCCAACTAGCCAGACCACAACCCTTTAACTTTTTATCTATTGAATTTTTCTCAAAAGTAAAAATGTGAAAGGATAATAAATATCTTTAGCATGTTTTGATAAAATTTGTAAATAGATGAATGGTTAATTTTAAGCATGTTTAACGTCTATGTAATAATTTAAGACATATTATCATTAAATAGATGAGTCTAATAATAAAATGAAATGTTAATATTAAATATTTATTGTATATTTTAATTTATAATATAATTCTTGAATCTTATAGCCAGTTGAAACATACCTTGTTTGGATTGGGCCATAATAGCAATTTCATATAAACACAACTAGCTCAGAAACTATTAGATACATTTGATTCAAATTTCATTCTAAAGATTGTGTTGGGGTACACATTTTTGTTTGATATATTACTTTTAAATGTTTCCTCATTGAAACTACTAGTCTTGTTTGATGAAAAAACCTTCCAGTACACCTCATAATAAAATTGATACCCTGTGTTAATTTTTTTATCTAGATTAATATATTTTACGAATTCAGGTGTAAATTACATATTATCACATTTTCTAGGGAAATTACCTTGTCGATATGATCTGCACAAAAATTATCTTCAATATCAATCTCTATCGTCGAATTTCAAATTATTTTAAAAACTAGATTTATAATGCAGATTCTTAAATATATATATATATTTATATTCTATACATTTATTATATCTATTATAGATAAATTTTGATAGAACTTAATTTTGGATTATATTAAAAATATTTAAAAAAATCATATAAATGGGACTTATAATTATTTTCCCAATATTCGCAGGGCCTGAATATTTTGATCGGACATGGCCAGGAGTCCATATTTAATATTTAAAAAAATTCCCAGGCCCGGCCCAAGTACATAATAAGTTCAAAAATTTTGCCCAAGCCTATACGCAAAAATTTAATTTACTGTTCAATGAAAATAAACAATATTTTAGTGTATTTAGGCAATCATTTTGTTTACAATACTGAAATTTATTATTAGAAGAATAAAAAATATTTTCTTTAGTTAGAAAGTGTTTTAAATAATTTAGATGAAAAATTTTTAGGCCCATGCCTACTAAAAATTTTTCCCCAAAAACCCAGTCTCACTAGAAAATATTATATTTAGCCCATATCCAAGCCCATGAAAGTCTCTGATTCGCATTTAAATGTATTATTAAATTATTCCTCGTAACTTTAATAAAATCATTTTTTTTCTTCATTTAAAATCGTTAATATCTTACCTACATAAAATAAAGTTTGAAGTGCTCTTCAAAATAAAAAAAATCTTCAAAGATTGTTGATCTTTTTAACTTTTGAAAATAAGATCTTTTGATCAAATTTACCTAAAAACACCAAATCTTTTATAAATGAATCTTCAATTTTATGATTTTCAATGAACATTTTAGGAAAAAATATTTTTAAAAAAACGTTTAAAATTTACCTCAATTCAAAATATCGGTATGAAGTTTAGTGAGGAAAAAAATCCGAGATGTGCCAATACCACATTTTTTAACAGATAAAAACAGGATAGCAAACCAACACGGCGCCCGATACATCGAAATAAATTAACTTATTAACTTTTATAAAAGTAAATTTAAAAGTGAAAAGAATAGCGGCACCTTTTCTTTCTCGTAGATTTATAAATTTGTTGTATTATTGGGTATGGACTAAAATTGAATGTATAGGACGATATAGATGTAACTCTGAAATAGAAATGTTGAATGATTGAAGACCAACATTATAATACAACTAAATTAGTCAAAACACAAATTTATTATTTTAAAAAATAAATAAATTCTATATTATAAATAATATTATTTCCTCTTATTAAATATATATATATATTGAATGGTTATTTCCCTTATTATTAATATAGTTTTATTTCGTTTCTATTAAAATTGAATCGCACTTTAACATAATATCATGAGTATGGAAAGTATCTTGTCATCATTCTTTTCTCCTCAATTGCTCAATTTCTATTAATTCTGACTTTGTAAAGGAAGTTTTTGAGGATCTCGAAGAATAAAGATCTAATACTTGATGGCATATATCTGTTAGTAAATTTGCAAGAAGTAAACAAATATCAAAAAATTATTTTATACAATTATATCTATTAATATGTATATTTGTCACCGGTAGAAATAAAAAATTTTCAGAAAAATGAAAAAAAAATTCAAACGTAGTTTTAAAAAATAAAATAATTTATTACTACTTTTAAAATCCTTTTAGAAAATTTAATATACCAGTATTTACTGCAAATTTTTCAATATCACAATTCATCTTAAATATAATATTATTGGAAATAACCCTGGGTGGGGGTCGAAGGGTTAAAAAATTTTTTAAAACGAATAAGCCGGTTTGTTGGCTAAAACCCGTCCATTGCAGACCTCTACATTAATTTAGCGCAAAAAATATTCTATTTGTAAAAATTAATTTTCAAGTGTTTAAAAATTTTGTTAAAATGATTTTTAAGCATATGTTTTTACTAGTGATGTTAAGGTAAAATTGAAACTAATAACTGTAACTAGTTATAATTTTTGAAATATAACTGCCAAAAGTAACTAGTTACTTTTAAAGATATATTCAAATAATTAATTTTATTTTTAATATGTTGTGATAAATTAATTTTAAATTAAATTTATTAATTTAAAATTTTGTGAAAATGTCTGATTGTTATAATTTCCCGTTCAAATTTACCTTAATACCTCAAAGTGAATCCCAGACGAATGAATCATGCTCAAAACCAACATCACTTTATGTAGTTGGATTTTTTGACCTAAAGCGCCAAAATATTCTGGATAATGAACTTATAGAAAACTTTATCAAATCTAATAACAACACTTTTTCTTTATATAACGATTTTCCAAAGTTAAAATTACTCTTTATTAAATATAATGTTGTTCTAACATCAAGTGCTCCCGTAGAGCGCTTGTTCAGTCTAGGTAAGCGCATTTTTGGAGATAAACGAGCACGTCTCCTAGATAATAACTTTGAAATTAATTTGTTGTTAAAAGCAAATAAACATTTATTAGATTCTAATTTTTATGAAAAATAAATGTTTTTTTTTCAATGCAAATATATATTTTTATATTCGATGTAAATATTCAATTTTGCGATATTTTTTTATATAAATAAATTGTATATTATTTTAAATAACTGATTATACTTTGTTTATCTTAATTTTTTTTATATTAAATAAATGCATTCAATAAATAAATAATGCGCATATGAATGATGTATAAAGTAAGTAACTAATTACTTTTGAAAATAACTGTAACTAATAACTAGTTACTTTTGTAAAAATGTAACTAGTAACTGTAACTAGTTATGTTTTTGCCAATGTAACTAGTAACTGTAACTAGTTATGTTTCAAAAGTAACTTTTAACATCACTAGTTTTTACCGTGATATATAATAAATACCTAACCTAGACCACATTCATTTAAATGTAAACAGAATTTTCAAATTGAAGAATTGCGGTAGAAATATAAATATTGCTAAAAAAAATCTTGCGGGCCGATATAAATATTAACAAAGTTGGTAGCGTTTTATAATTTCAAAATAGGTAATATTTTTCAAAATAATTTCTTTGTAGTGGAGTTACATTATTTTATATATAAAAAATAATTTTAATCTTCTCAAACAAGACATCAATGTCTATCGGTATTTTTAATATATTTATTAAATTACAAAAACCATCGATTGGTGGTTTCTGTTATAAGGTCTAATATCTATACATTTGTAAATCGAGTTATTGAAATCAAATTTTGATTGCAAATATTCTAAAATTGTCTTAATAAAAATATTTGCTTCATTTAAAAATACATCAATTAGAGTAATATTTGAACATTTTGATATATTTTCAGCAATAGCGGCATAAAATTATTGTCAATTTTTAATTGTAAAGATGAACACAGCTGCAGCATAATTTTGTGAAGATTCTTAAGATTGCAACTGCTATTAACATGTAGTAAATTTCCTACATGTGAAATCATTCCTAAATATGCCTGTGCCATTTCCTTCTCGAAAAAATTTTTCAAAATATTAAGACAGCTTTTATAATCTTTATTTAAGAAATATTTTATTAAAGGTTCGTAAAATTTTAAAATTCTATCGAAGGTGGGATGATAACGTGATAGGGAGTCGCAACAACTCACACCATTCCAAGTCGAACCATGCCATCAACTCTTTCAATTCATTAGCTATTTTAGTTGATAAACTAAATTCATTTAAATATTTCATTACAATTATTTCGACATCCATATTACCTTCTTGCAAGAATTATGTAATATATGGCATATACAGCCAATTGGTATTAAGTCAACATTGTGCTACCTTAATTCTGTAAATACACTCCGGTTTTTGCCAAAATTCACTGAGGCATTATCAGCGCATAAAGCTGACATGCAACTCATTTATATGGTTAGCTATATCTATGGATTTTTCACTATCTGAGGAAAAAAATTAATAGTTTTATTGAAACGCCCTTATTTTTGTTGAAATAGCGGAGGATCAAGGTATATGTAATATTTCCCTTATTAGATGCATCTGTTAGAATTTCATATGGATGTCCATCTTTCAAATTGTCAAGAACTGACTTCCTGGATTCAGGTCCTAAAACATTAGTGATAGCCTTGCTCATTTTGATTCTACCACAAGTAAAGTTTTCACTTATGAGTCGTTAAATATTATGGGGAAAGATTCAACCCGCATTGTGATGATAAGTAGCTCTGTGAATGTTGTAATACATAAGTGTATACCATTTCGGCCTGTAGTTGCATCTATTATTTCTTATTTTTGCAGATATTTTTGTATTGCAATAGATGTAGATACACTTCCCTATACCGATTATAATAATAATGTGATTGAACTATAATAAATAAAATAATTATTGAAATAAGTAATTACCTTATTATGTATTTAAAAGTGATACATAATAATTAAGCGCCTAGCCCTATAATGTTATACACAAACACACATGAAAATGATAAAATATGAATGTTGATTTATTATTGGATAAAAATAAAATATATGATTAAGGTAAGGATAGAAAGAAATACAAACTAAACATGTTTTTTGAATAAATATTTAAAATTTATTTTAAAAGTATAAAAATAATCAATTACTGTTTCTCAAAATTATTTATATATTAAAAACGTTAAAATGCTAAAAAAAATGTAGAGGAGAAATTTATAAAAATTGCGGTAAATTTCCAATTGCGGTAGTTTTGCAGGAGTGAGATGTCTGCGTGTAAACTAAAAATTTTCGGAAGTCTCCTGCTGATGGGGTGAGACCTGGCGACCGTGAATGTATATCAAAATTATGGTCCAACTCAAAAAAATTGTTAGTTGTTACAACAGCTTATTTATATAAAATTCGTCTATTTATAAATGCATGACCTATCAGATGTGACAGGTTAAAATGATTTATTTTTATTAAAAACCATTTATAATATATTCTTAACCAGGGTTTCCAGATTCATTCAAACAAAAAGCGGGAGAATTTAACCATAATTCAAAAAAAATTTTTTAACAAATAAGATTAATTATTTTTCAGGTGATTATTTCTTTATTTAAATGAATATATCTAAATGTAACACTAAAATAAAGGAAGATTGTTAGATATTATTTAAAAAAATTAATATATACTTTTATTCATATTTTTCAGAATATGTTATTTCTATTTTTGGTTACATATTCCTTAAAAAAACATGATTAAAATTATGTTTGATCATTAATTCCTCAAGTTTTCATTAAACTAAATATACGCTCTGAATCAGCGTTTGAATGTGGTTACTAGAATATATTGCAGATTTAACGCAATGATCTTTTAAAAAAGTACCCATTTGTTTTGATGGGCCAAATTTGATATATAATTATTATTTTCTATAAAAGCATTTATAGCAACGAGTTCCTGAAATAATTCATCTAATTCGATATCTTTTATATTAAAATTATTATTATTAATCTAACATCCTCGATTATGAATTTATTATCAGAATTCCCTATTTAATATTTGTAAATACATATTTTTTTTCTAAATACGAAATGATTTTTTAATGAATAACTTCATTTGGAAATAATGCGATTTTATCATTATCATCACATTTTATAAGATTTTGTCACCGAGCCATAAAAGTTATTGATAACTAACATGGGCTTTTAAAGATGTAACTAATTTATTTATTAATAAAAATATCTCCACTGCAATCAAATTTTTAACCACGTTTCGTTGTTTAAGGTCGTTCCTATATTAATAACTAAATATCCTGAGAATCCATAATTTTTTTTAAAACAGATACCCTGTTTGTGGATCTGCTGAATTCTAAATAAGATTTCATAGCAATTATTTCTGTCTATTGAAGCATGCTCCTTTCTTCCTGCATTGTGAATTGTATGACACAGGCAACCAATGGGGATATTCCCATTCAAAACTAATAATTCCGTCATTACACTTTGCCTTTTTTTACACTTGCGTTATCGGCACAAAAAGTTGTTACATTTGATAGTAAAAGGTCGCAATTTTCAAGGCTCAGCATAAGCATATACGCAATATCCGTCGATTTTTCCGAGTCAGATGAAATGTTTTTTAAAGGTTTACTTGAAACACTTTTTTCTTTATTCTAATAGCGCAGAATTATTGAGAATGTTTTAGTATTTCCATTATTTGATGCATCAGTTAATAGATGAAATGGATGGTTTTCCTTCAAATCCTATAAGATGTGTTACTTAGTTTCCAGGATCTATGATTCTATTCTTCTACATTTTATGCTTTTGGCTATTTTTCAATCAGAAAAGAGTGTAGGCAATAAGTTTGTAGCACAATCGGTTGATAATGAAAAATAACTTAAGAGAATGTTTATCGTGTGATAGATGATTGTCGTTTTGGCTATTGCTGTAATAACATCACATAAATTATTATTTTAAGGTATGGTTGGATATTATTTAATGATATATTTTAAATTGGAATTTCCATTGTTTAATGTTTTTTTTTACATCATGAACTCTTATATGGCTGACATTAGATTTTGAATTGCATATTATACACATTGCATTTAAGTTACATTCTTTATCTTCTATGATATATTTTAAATTGGAATTTCCATTGTTTAATGTTTTTTTTACATCATGGACTCCTATATGGCTGACATTAGATTTTGTATTGCATATTATACATATTGCATTTAAGTTACATTCTTTATCTTCTCTGACCTATGAAATTGGAATTCCAGTTAATTTGATATTGCAATTTACATTTTTTGGGGATGCTAAACTTGTCTTTAAATTGTAATTTTTATATAATTTAAATTAATGAAATAAAATTGAAAAAGGAATGAAATATCATGAAAAAATTTTATTTAATTAATTAAAAATTATTATTACTGTTAAAATTTTAAATAAAAAATTGCTTACTTCTAAAATATCGCTTTATATAAATAGTTCTAAAAATTATATAAAATACTTACTTCACATTTACGTAAATATCAATTTCATCATCAGAATTAGACGAAGTAATTATTATATGATTTATCATAACAATTTTAAAATGAAAAGATATTAAATAGTATTAGTATATTTTAAATTGGAAAGTTTTGAAGATCGATAAAAGATAATTTTATTTTCTTGGAATTTTTTGTTTTTTCCTTTTTCAAAATATAGAAAAAAAAATATAAAATGTCTTTTTAAATGTATGATTGAAATAAAATAAAAAATGATAGCGTAAGTTTTTGGTCAAACCATCTTTAATTATTTTATAAAATAAAAAAATCGATAGAAAGCGTAAAAACATGGAAAAGGCGTAAATCAATAGATGGCGTGTTTTGGCGAAACTAAAGTAAAAAATTGGGAATTACTTCAAAAGCGGGAGATCTGGCATCTTGTTCTTAACCCTAATTTATTTCTCTCAAACCTTTAATTAACCCATACCCATATCTCACTAACCTATAAATATATTAAATTCAATTAAAATCCCAGAGATACTCAGTCATTGAGTATGATATGCTATGCGAAATAAGTAAATGTAAAGAAAATATTAAGCAGTCATATATACCCTCCAACAATTCAGGTTCCAACCCGACAACAAATTTCGCCCACCAATTATCTTGATTGAAGGAAGGGAAGCCTTTATTGAATCCAAACCATTGGTTAAGATCTACTTTTATAAGCTTAGCGGCTAAGTGGACCAAGGCAATGGCGATTATTTCCGGTTCCCACTGCAAACAAAGGGTTGTGCTTAGGCTATCGTTTATGAATGTCCAGGTCATTTGAACAATTTTTTGTAGTTTGTTGTGTTCTTCCTCTTTCATATCAGGCTTTAAAGCTTTATATACAAAATTTTGTTTGAATCAATAAAATAAATTGCAAATGTATATAATGTTATAATAAAGATTTAACTGAATAAGATATCAGGAGTATATTTTATATACATATTATATTTAAACTAATTAAATTCACCTTTTAGTGTTTTTATGTATTTTAAAAGATAGGTATAAGGATGTGGAACGTTGAAATCAAAACGTATAGTTTGTAGCAGTATTCTTTCTAAAGTCATTAATTCATCCTAGAGGTAAAAAAATATTGAATATAGGTTTCTAATGATTAAATATATATTAAATATTTGAATTATTATTTATGTTTAATTTACTAGATTCATTAAATTTATATTAATACCATTTTCTTAGTTAGCCTATTTGTCCTTAATTTTAAATATTTTTGTAGTGGTTAATAAAAAATTTTTTAGAGGAAAGGAATACCTGGCTAAATAATTAATGGAACATGGGTTCATTTTATTACATTATATCTTTCCTGTTAAATTTATGAATAAATAATTAAAAAATTAAATTAGCAAAATTGAATTGACTAATAAATATTAACCTTATCAATATTTAATATTAGCCCATTTATGATAATTCGATATTTTTATGTTAACAATGTTAGATTATTTTAATAAAATTTATAATAGAATTAATATTCAAAAAATGCCTCTGAATTTATCTTAGTATCAGCAAAATAAATATTTTATTTTAATAATGATAAAATGATTATAAAATATACACAACATTAGTGTTGTCGAAAGGTTTGATTTAGCTCATTTAAAATTAAGATTTTAGCCAAAATTATATTATACAAGTCTCAAAATTCGTTAATAGATGTAAAACCTTTCTGAAACCTGCCGTGTATGAGCAAAATCTCTAGGCTTGTGTAATAATTAAGATTAAAATATCGTGTTAGAGCAATTTCTACAGTAAAATAATTTCTAATAAAAAAAAATTTACAATTATTATTTATCTATCACTTATATGCAAAAATGATGCATGACATGAGACATAATAAAATGTATATTCTATTTGAAAACAAAAACTAATAATTATAAAAATATAAACAAAAAATTTTTCAAAGAGCTAAAAATTATAATTTAGGTAATGTAAATAGTTCATAAAAGTGTAAACCTGGAAAATCGCCAATAAAAGAAAAAGAAAGAAGAAAGTTTTAAAAAAATCTATCAATAATATGAAAATGATGTTTTTATTGTATGGTATAAAATTTTTAATCATATATCATTAGTTGTTAGAAAAATATACAATCTAAATGCTTGGCTTAGTGGTCTGCATTGGGCAATTTTTTAGCCCGCCCGCCTACCCATACTTCGGAAGGCGTGGTCAGGTTTTATAAAATATTTTTAATATTGGGAGAGTGGTGGGCGGGTTAAAAAAATTTTATAATGGGTGGGCGGGTGAATTTTTAATATTTTTCAGGTGAAATGAGCAGAATAGACTTCAATTTATTAAAAATAAAAGTTTTATTTAATAACATTGCATATATGTCTAATTAAAAATATATGAAAATATATGAATAAAGAGCCAAACCAGCCTTAAGATAATTTTTAAACATTAAACGGGCAGGCGGGTTAAACAAAATTTATAGATAAATGGGCGAATAAATTTTAAAAAAAAATTATAAATGGGCGAGCGGGTTAGGCAAAATTTCCAAATAATGTAACCTCTAATTTGGTTACTATAAAAAAAGGAACCTTTATAAAATAGGATCATATTTATTTTATTTATATGCCTTCATCTCTATAATATGATGGTAATTGTAACTTTATAAAAATGTTAATAATTAGCTATATCATCACTCAACTACAAAGAAATGCCTGAACCATGTGCCTTAATTGTTATCATTTTAAATGCCATTAAATTTTTACCATATTTATAATATTATTTAAAACAAAAATATTAACTTTTATATGTAATTTTCTTTATAAAATTCTCTAAATTTGAAGGAAAATTTTAATTGGCATTTTTATTTGCAAGGAAAAACCTCTATGTGTACCTAATATAAAATTTGTTTCAAAAGAAAATTAATCTAAAAATTTGAACCAGATATTAGATTAAGATAAATTAGTGGAAATAATTGCAAAAATTAGCATTAAATTCAATGGGAAACAAACTAGAGCCCTTAAAAGTAGGGAAAGTTCTTAAAATTATAATCAGAAAGAATTTTTTCCGGGATTAGGACAAACTAATTAAGCAATTTTTATGTCTAAAAATTGTTATATATTTTTTCAATTACAAATTTAGGTTCCTCCAAATAATAATAAATTGGCAGATATAATAATAACTATTTTTACCCTTTTTGAAATATTTATGAAGTAAAATAATTTTTATATATTAATAATATAGTAATGCATATCTAGATGTCCAAAAATCTAAGATTCAAAGCTTTTCATAAATATTTAGCCTTGTTCCTAGAAGATTTTTGGCAAATATATCCTCTATAACCTGGTGAGTTCTCAACTTTTCGAAATACCCATTTCATTCTATTGTTCCTGCAGAAAAGGTTATATATATTACATAGAATTTGTATTTAGCCTTGTAACCAACTTTCCTGCAATGATAATGTATAATGGCATCCTTTTGAAAACTTATTTAATATAAATAATTTTTTAAAAAGAAATGCCTTCCTTGTTTGATATCTTTATTTGAAAAGCTGAGTATTCATCAGGTTATAAATGATATGTTCCCAAATATCCCCTAGAAACTAGGCACATTATTTATAATATTGAACTAAAGATTTTTGGAAACACTGAACATAGTTATGTATTATTAAAATATTAATATATAAAAATTATTTTACTTCATAAATGATTGATCGATAAAACCTTTAATTACGATTTTTATTATTATTTAATACTGATATATTTAAAAGTATTATAATAAATTCTTTATAAAAATTGATAAAATATGTCATTTGTTAGACATATTTATATAAATAGTTTGGGAAAAAAACATTTATTCATCTTATCGGGTAATGATATTATAACACTGAACGTTATTAATTTATTTATCTGTTTTATTAAAATTTTATTTTATATTTGACTTTTATATCTAGATAAAAAAGTAATTAAATAGTTTATAATTTAGAATGAGAAAAAATTTATAATGTTTTATATAGTATTTAAAAACAATAAATGCCAGATTGAATATTATCAAATTATATATTTTAATTATATTTTATTTTAAATAATTAATAAGATTTTAAACTATTAATTTATATTACTTTATTATTAGAGTATAATTTTTATACCTTGTTTATATCATAAGAAAATGAATTGTGTAAATTAAGAGATTATATAACATTTTCTAAATCATCTTGTAATCGCTGATTAGTTGATAAATTATTCTTAATAATGAAAATTTATTTTTAATTTTTTTTTTTAAATAATAAAATAAATAATTTCAAATAATACAAGCTTTTAAAGTATATCAATCTGCATAGGGCCAAATTTTTCAAGCCTGAACATGCCTCAATTTTTTACATTAGTCGTACCAAATATATTTAAATATAGAAAAAATATATTCTACAAACAAAATCAGGCTCTTATTTTTCTTATATAATTATAATTTCGCTAATAGATGTCTCCTAACCTTCACGACTTGTATGTGCAAAATGAAAAATGAATTAAGTTGGGGATTCCCTTTTTTAAAAACTTAATAAATATATAGTAAGGGTTTTCAGATGATGTATAGCATAATTGTAAAAAATTAATTAAAATGACTAGATCTTATTGATAAGCTAAACATGATTCTGCATATATAATGTATATTTACCGAGGGCACGTATTTTAGTCAAAAAAATTTTTTTTTTCCAATAATTAAAATATATAAATAATCTATGAAGACATTAAAAAGGACTATAAAAAAATATATATATTTAAAAAAGGGGGGGGGGGTATATAACATCCAAGAGAAGAGTGAATACTTAAAAAATTAGACCGGCAAATTTACAGGGAAATCTGCTGGCGAAGGTAAAATCCTTCATTGAGCCGCCCTCAAAAAAGTTAATATCCCATCTACCCTCGAACCAGTGGGTCTTTCAAACAAATACGCCATATGCCCGGATGGTATTTCTCTCATACCCTGGTCTAATGGTCTTCCGCTATCATGGGATTACACTTGCGTCGATTTTGCAGCCAAGTCTAACCTCTCATTTTCTGTTATCGAAAAGGCAGAAATCCTTAAAAAAAAATACGCTGGCCTCGCCAACACTATGTTCATTCCTATCGTTACCAAAACCCTAGGCATGCTTGAAAACGAGGCCCTCAATTTCATTAAAATCATAGGAAAAAAATGAGACAGATCTCAGGGGACCCCAATGAAGGATTTTACCTTCGCCAGCTAATTTCCCTGGAAATTTGCCAGTCTAATTTTTTAAGTATTCACTCTTCTCTTGGATGATATATACCACTCTTTTTTTTAAATATATATATTTTTTTTATAGTCCTTTTTAATGTCTTCATAGATTATATATATATTATATATTTATTTTTTTATATTTAATTTTTAATATATCCATTTTAATATATATTTTTTAATCCTCTGTAATTTAATGATTATGAATAAATAATAAAGATATAAAAAATAAATAAAAATTTTTTTTAAAAAAAGAATGAATACTACCATTTTCTGAATCTCCTTGAAAAACTAAACATGATTCTGCATTCTTTTTAAAAATAATGAATATTTTATCAAGGGCACGTATTTTAGTCAAAAAAAATTTTTTTTTGATAAATACTTCCATTTTCTGAATTTCCTTGATAAGCTAAACATGATTCTGGATTCATTTTTTAAAAATAATGTATATTTACCGAGGATGTGTATTTTAGACAAAAAAAGAAAAAGTGTTTTTCAAAAGCCCACTGAGTTATAAAAAATTTATAAACTTAATATTAACAATATCTAAATCCTTTTAATGAGCTTAATATGATTATGCTTTCATTTTTTTTTAAAAAAAATGTATATTCACCAAAGGCACATAGTTGTCCAAAAAAGCGTTTTTTCATAAGAGCGTGTATTTTAGTTATGTAAAAAAATTATTTTTTTTAAATTTTACTGTTACCATTTTTTTTAATTAAAAAAACATTTTATAAATCATCTGCTGTTAATAAATAAAATATTTGCACCATTTTTATTAATATTTATAGTTTTACTATTTTTAGCCTCACTACTAAAGCCATCTACAAAATTTAGGGGCCTAAAATAATATATAAATTTGAATCAGTCCTGACCAAAAAATTGAATTTGCTAAGGTTCTAAAAAAAATACTAGTTTTTGTTTAGTAAAAAAAATTGTGTTTATAATAACTAAAATAGATAACTTTTACTATTAAAATCTCCATTATATTAGAATTGCCAAATAAAAAATATTTTGTTTTTTTTTGGTTAACCAAATAATTATTTTTTATCTAATCCATATAATTAACAGTAAATTCTACTAAAAATACCTAATTCAAATTTTTAAAAATTATTTTTAAAAGGTGCCTATTTTCTGAATTAAAGATTACATGAATTATTTTTTATTCAATTCAATTTCAGATTAAATAAGGAAAATATATTAAATGCCAAATAATTTTTCATCTATTATTTATGTCATATAAAATTGAAAATTATTCTTAAATATTTATTTAACATGCTTATTGTAGAACTTTTTATTTTTCATCTATAAATCACTTTTTTAATTTTAACAATATATTTTTTCAATTTTGGAAATATTTTTAATGATCAGAATCAAATATATATATATATGATATGCATATATTTGATTCTATCTTTATAAGTATACTAAGAGAGAAAATATCCTCAATCATATCAATAATGACAAAGATTATTAGTATTGGTATCAGCACATTACCTATATTAGCAATTATTTCTCTCTTATTTTTAATAAAAAAAGCAAGCAAGATTCCTTTATTAAATAATGATAATAAATTTACTTTAGGATCTTCACCAAAGTGAGAATATTCATCTTCAGTTAAAATGGATTTTGAAACTTTTATTATGTCCTTAATTTTTTTGGGAGTCTCTTCAACTTTTCCTGCTAAAAACAAGCAACATGCAGCCAAAACCTTAAAAATTTATATTCACTATTTTTAAAAGTATTTTATTACATATTTATCAAAATCCATAAATGAATATTGCATATAAAATCTATGAAAGTAGACAACACCAGTGGCTATTGTATCATATCTCCTGTAAAACAAATATAAATATTAAAATATATCTCCTGTAAAACAAATATAAATATCAAAACATATCAACTGTAAAACAAATATAAAATATATTACAATCCAAGTTTACTGCCAACATCAATAATAAATCTTGGGCCTTGTTTTCTATATTTATCAACAAGATGTGTTTCCATATTATTCTTAATTGATGGATTGTTACGAATTTCATCTTTAGTATAAAATATATCCATAGGACACTACTCCATAATATCGAAAAATGCGTTATAGGATTATACCTCGAAAAAAATAAAATATATTACCTGTTTTATAAATTACATTGTATATTACTAACTTACATATATTATTATTTCATATCTACTATTTTTATCCTTCATTGTTAAAATATATGTTGAATTGATTATAAAATAAAATATAATCTTAAAATGAAGTCATGTATTTATAGTATGAGCTCTAAGTATTTAGCTTCATCGTCTTCATAATTTTATCTATAAATATTATATATAATCTATGAGATAGTCATATTGCATATGCATAAATTTGAAAAAAATTTGAACTTCTAAATACATGCTTCTAGGTTTTTAATTTTATATAATAATACTAATCATTTAAAGTCTCGGAACAGTCGAAGATTAAGAGAGGAAATAAGAAAGTAAGATTAATTCACACAAAAATTTTAGCGAAAGAAGAAGTCCAGGATTAACCCTAAAATTATTTTAATATTAATCGAGAAAATATATAGAAATTTACAATAGATAAAAGGCAGACAAAATTTTTGAGCTGATGCCCGATATTACAATCCTATTTTTTAAAGATTATAATATTTAGCTAATTACCTAGAGGAATTTATATATATATATGAGATAGCGTAAAAAATATCTTAAAGTTCTTAGCAGGCGCTTACGCAGCGCCCCCCCCCCTTAAAAAAAAGAAACCCAAAAAATGCAGATGCCGGATAAATTTTTCAAAAATATTATTTATTAATATTTATTCCTATCTCATATTAAACATATATTATAATACATTTATTATCAGAATTCATCTACTAAGTTATAATATCAATTAATTCCGATTTCAAGTTTTTCAGCGTAATATTTACTTATTATTTTCAAATTTTTAGTGGCGTAATATTTATCTACCATTTTAAAAATTCTAGTCAAATTATAATTATTTCTGAAACTTCTTGTCTAACAGGAAGAAATAAATTGCAACCTTGTCCACTGAGATAGTCTCCGCCATCAAGCAGTAACAGCTTTTATGGAGTTAGAATAGCCGATTATTTGCTAAAATATCACAATGGCCTGGAAGAAATATTTCCTCAGAAGCAAGAAAATTATTGGATTCAATGCTTATTCCAAATTTTTTCTCTCATTAGAGTGTATTATTTAATTATACAACTATTATATGTATTACATTTCAAAAACATGACATTAACTTGATTAAGAAGATGAGAATAGCGGAGAGAGCATTTTATTAGACTCAAGAAAATTAGGGCTAATGTTGATAGAGAATTTCATATTTTATATGTTATTGTTGAGTCAAAAGCAGAGCTATACGTGTTTAATATTTGTCTCCCTCGACTTGCAGCAAGGCAAGGATCAGTAGAAGAGTATATCTTAGATAAATTTTTAACCAAATAAATAAATGGTTTTTAATTCATCATTTAGCACTTACCAATCTGCAGATATTACTTCCACAAAAGCCTTACCAACCTTTTTCAGATGGTAATGGAAAAAAAAATATATGTTAGATTTTTATCATGAAAATGTTAAAGTATCTTATGATGCCTTATTAGCTGAATAACTATGTTTATAAGATTAACTATTGTTGATATAGTCCCAAAAAATCTATGGATGCTCTGCATATTTCAAACACATTTTAGATTATATTTCCAATGTATTAAAAGGGTTTATATATATTAGCAACTCTTCCCATTAGTAAACTAATGAGTAACAGAGCCGTTCAGAGGAAGAGCGTGGCCTGGATTTTTTTTTTAAATTTTTTACGGCCTTATTAAAAAAAATTTTTAAGCTCGGCCCGGCTTTTTAAAAAAATTTTCAGGCCCGGCCCGGTTTTAAAAAAAATAAATAATATTTATTTTTGATTTTTATAATTAATAATAACAATTTCAAATAAGGCTGTTTTAAAATATACAGCCCGGCCCAGATATTTTTTTAAAAAAATTTTCAGGCCATGCCTGGGTGTTTTTTTAAAAAAATTCAAGCTCGGCCCGGGTGTTTTTTTAAAAAAATTTCGGGCCCGGCTCTGGTATATTTAAAAAAATTAAGATACGGTCCGACCCGGGGACCGGGTCTGCAGGTCTCTGAAAAAAATACCTAGAAGTAAAACTTTTGAAAGTAGATTGAAAGGTTTGGATCTATTGAATATTCACAGGTATTTAACCACAAGCAAGGATGAGATAATTAAAAATTAGCTTTAGCTCAATCTCATCGAAGATTGGATTTTACATTGTATATATATAAAATACAAATTACAATTATTCCTAAGAAACATTTTGTGTATTAATTTATATTTCCATTTAAATTTTTTATACTTTATATATAAATTTTAAAGGCTCAAAAGATTCAAATTTCTATTTTGGGTCATTTAAGTGATTCTTATATTGGTTATCACTTTATATTTTATAATTCACATTTATTTTTTATACCGTACCGCCAGTTATATCCTTTTAATATTTTTTAATTCACATTTATTTTATAGTTTTTTATTTGCCGGTTTATACATATAATTATTTTATAATTCACATTTATTTTATAATTTTTTATATGCCGGTTTATACATATAATTATTTTATAATTCACATTAATTTAAAATTGTGTATTAGAAATAGCTATCAGTCCCAATAAATTTATGCTTGATATTTTTAAAAAACAATAATATTTCTTTAAAAAATTTATTATCGCCCCCCCCCCTCCCAGACTAAATTCCTGCGTACGCTCCTGGTTCTTGGATAATAATAAATTAGATTATGATATACTTGAATGATTTATAGCCCTTTTGTGAGTTTAGGAGAATATATTTTCCGTTTGTGTAGTTGCAAATTTTAATTATTATGTAAGTTAGTAAAAACGCGCAAAATAGGGTCAACATTATAATATATCTATATATGTTGATGTTCTGATTCCTGTCTGTGAAACTTTCATATAAATGCTAAATATTTCAAAAAATATATAATTTGATATAAATATTAATAAAAATTAGGAAACAACAAGGTAAATGGGCAGGGCCGTAGCACCGCGGGTGGCAGCCCCCCTCCCCATAAAAAATTTATCAGCCTCCATAAATTTTTCCGGTCCCCTAAATTAAAAAAAAAAATTTAATATATTATTTTTTTATTTTTAAAATAAATTTTAAATATTTATTCAAAAAACATGTCTAGTTTGTAAATTTCCTTTCCTATTTTATTTATATCCAATAATAAATCATTATTCATTCATATTTTATCATTTCATGTGTATTTGTGTATGACATTATATAGGCTCTTAATCACGTCTAAATAGTACTTATTTCAATGATAATTATTTTATTTATTATGGTTCAATCACTTTATTATTATTATATAACCAGTTATCTAAAACAGCGGTAAATATTTTAAAATTATGAAGAAAATACTGAGATATCAACAATTTTAGTAAGCCAACAAATTAAGCGTAATAAGGTTACGTTTAATCACAGGTGAACCAAAAGTAGGCTTTTCCCCTCGACAAAGAATATCCATTGAAATTTTTCGATCCAACCATATCCATACCATGGGTCATTAAGCCCCGCCGACCATAACTAAATATATTATTTTAATTTTTTTTTTAATTTCTCTTCTTTTATTTATATATTTTAATATAGAATATAGATATAGAATGTCAATTATAATTTTAATATTCTTTTAAATAATATTTTCATCATTGTTTGTTTTATTTTTATAACTGTGCATTAAAGTTTTTTAAAAATAAAAGTGATTATAATCTTTACTATCTTAAATTAATATTTGATTTGATATTATTTCTTAGCATACAGGAGCTACCTTTTCGTGGGATTGGTTCAACAAAAATTACGGATGCTGCAAAAGATGAAAACGTAATTTATTCTTCTGGACTATATATATCAATGTTTCATACACCACCCAAAAAGATCTTTTAAATAAAATTATGAAATACCCCAAAATGCCCAATATACATCCTCCCAGATTCAAAAGGAAGTAATATCTATTATGAAAGATATGGTACTTTAAATATCTCAGACAAATATAAAAAAAGTCAGTTGCCTTTTTTTTGTCTTAAGGCCTATGAGTAGTGTTGTTAAACGGCTCGATTTGAGCCGATTTTTAAAAACAACTAACTCAACATAGGAGGCTGAAAAATAATGCCTAAGCGTCGAGATTTGGCCAATAGATGTTCAATCCTATATGCCATCTATGAGCAAATTCTTTAGTCTTGCATAATATTTTTCTGGATAAAATATTGAGTTAGCCGTTTTTAAAAATCGGCTCAAATTGAGCCGTTTAACAACACTACCTATGAGACAAAAGATGCATCAGGTTGTGAAAATCTGAGCATAATTGTTCGCTATATTTTATTTTGGAGAAATTCAATAAAATTTAATAGGAATGATTAACTTACAGTGTCTTTCTGCTGAAAGCATTCCTAATTGCATTTTAAAGTAACTTAATGAGTTAAATATTAATTTACGAATATAATAAGCCAGGTATATGATGGTGCAAACGTCATGTCTGATCGAAATGGAGGAGTGCAAATCCTTCAAAAAAAAATTTAATAAAAATGTTCTTTTTATATGCTATAACCACAAGTTTCATCTTGTGGTTCAAAATTGGTATAATATTGTTATCATTTCTAATTTTTTTTAATTTATCTAATGCATTTTATAATTTTTTAGACATTTTAGAGTATCCTGTAAAATATACAGGTCATGTCTTAAGAGACATTTAGACAGAGATGTACTGCTTATTTAAAAACTCTTTCATCATTTAGGAGAATTTTCAGGCTATTGGTGACTTTTCTAATAGAACTCTTAATTCAGAGGTTTCCACTCATGATTCAGTCGAAGCCTCTGGTCTTTTATCTCAATGCGTCAATATAAATTACGTTATATTAGCGATTAAAATTTATGAGATATAATAACAATAGATCCACTAAATAAGTATCTACAGTCAGTAGTTACTAAGGATGCTAAAAATTGTATTGATTCCACTATCAATGTATTAAAAAAAAGAAGCGATAATCCTTTGATTTGGTT